GAATCTTATTTGTGTGTACAGTAAAATTTAAACCAATTACAACTTGCAATGTATATTTGTCTCATTTTAATATGTAAATTCCCTCCAATTTTTTTTTGTTGTTTTTTCTATAGACATAAAATGTAAATAATACATTTAATGAAAATATTACTTTTATAAGCATTTTATTTATTTTTTATTATAATTTTTTTTATTGTTGAACATTTGTAAGTACTGTATTGTATAAACTGCAATATTTTTAGTTTGAATTAACAAAATTGTATTGTGTAAATGTAGTAATCATACACACATTGGAGAGGACATGTAAATTTATAAACCTAACAGTTGTGATAAATATATTGATCTATTCTTAGGTATTTGTTATCCAAATTATTTAATAAATGTGATTAAATAAAACAATTTGGAGTGTTTTTTTTTTTTTTTAATTTGTTTTTCTTTTATAAGGATACCAAAAATGTGCCACTTTTTAAGGCTTAGTTAATTTAAAATATGATATATTTTTAATTATATCTTAACACGTTGACGTCCGCGTATATTTCAGAGGTCGCGCCTACCTAGCCACGTAAATATTGATAACATAACGCTCGTGACGACCAGGCGTCGTCATCGGCCATGTAATATACTATACTGCCTAATGGCCGTTGACGACCACGTGTCGTCATGTTTTATAAATTGCATATAAGAAATAATAAAATTTAAAAATATAATATAATATAATAATAATAATACTTTGACTTTTAAAATATTTTATTATAGTATAAAACTAACTTTGAATACTTTGAATACTAATTTATGTAATAATATAACAAATAATAAAATAATAAAATAAATGGTATTGTGACTTCAATACAAGAAAAACATAAAATAAAATAAATACCTATTTAAAATAATGAAAACCATAAAAAAAAAATGTATAACAAATGACTTAGACTTAAATTTGTGAAAATCTTTAAAACAACCTTCTAAACATAAGCCAGGCTGGTCTTGATACTCGGCACAAAAATATATAGTATCCTTACGAATTTCTTTTGAATAACAATATTTGCACCTTTTGTACATATACCTTTTTTTGCTATTTTTCTGAACTTTTAACGGTAAATGAGTTTCAGAATACCTTTTTTTTGAATTGACTGGAATATTTTGACTATCAAGCAATAACCCTTGTATAACTGCAAGCCTGTAGTCATACAATTTCATTTTTTTAACATGTTTGTTGTACAAGAAATATGAGTTTATCAATAACAAGTGCATAAAATGTAGGCCAATTTTTTTATACCATCTTAGAGTTTTTCTCTCAAATGGATAATACGAGGACATTTGGTCTTGTCTATCTATACCTGACATGTGTTCATTGTAATTTTTTACGGAAATGGGCTTTTTTTTAACTTCTTTTTTTGTATAAATTTCAATCATTTCATGAGGAAATTCGGTACTAATCATTAAAACGTCGCGTTTGTCCTTCAATTTGACGACACAAATACCATCACTCGTATACCTACAAATACTTTCGCCTTTTTTTAATTTTTGTCTTATGACATCTATAGGATTATTTTTACGATTCTGCCTTAAAGTTCCCGTTACGTATGTTTTCTTTATCAACAAGTTTCTAGATAATTTCACACTGTTGTAAAAATTATCCATAAATAGAGATCTACCTGTATATAATAATCCATTCATAAGGTTATCTACCACAAACTCTGTATGAGACAAATCTTCGGATACGTCATGACCTTGCCCAGAATATACCATTACTCTATGAATAAGTCCCCATGGTTCGGTGAGCATGTACATTTTTACACCGTACTTGTGCCTTTTATTTTGTATGTATTGGCGAAAAATTAATCTGTCACGCCATAAAACCATTGATTCGTCAATCGACAAATTTTTGGATGGTTCATAGATTTCTTTCATTTTTGAATTAAAATAATCTAAAATAGGCTGAATTTTATATAACCTATTTTTAGTAGCCAGTTCCTCCTCTTTAGGGTTACGAGAAAAATGTAAAGCCCGAAGTAATCTTCGGTAATGAAATGAATAATATAATATAATAATATAAAGTAATGAATCTATTTCGACTCATGTGCTCGCGGAAAAATGGGATGTTGAATAACATGTTTGTCTTCCAATAATCTTCTATCCTAGCTAGTTTTATTGTACCCATATGGAAGAGTAATGAAAAAAATAACTTCATTTCTGATTTATTAGTATCAAACCAAGTAGAAATTCGCGCATTATTTGAAGTAGTACTAAGTAAAATATCAACCGCATAAGCATTTGTTTCTTCGACAAGAAGGTCCAACAATTCGTCAGTAAATAAAAAATTAAAGTAATCTATAGGTTGATCTCCTTCTGGTATATATTTTAGACCAGGTATACCTATAGAGAAAATATTCTCTACAGTCGGGGATTTAGTAAGCCAGTCGTATTGATTTTCATTACAACTCAACAAATTATTATCAATACTGCACGAATTATTATCTTCATTGTCTATTTCATTTTCATCTGATAAATTACCTATATCCAATACATCATCATCATCATTCGAATCAATGCCGAAATCTTCATCCGACGAAAACTTCCCTTTTTCTAAAATATCCAGTAACTCGCTATCAGATAAAATATTTGTTTTCATACTTTTTTGAGTGTTAGAACTCGTTGACGGGCTATCTTGAAAATTCATATTATTATAATATACTATATAATACTTATAATAATGAATTCCATATAACTATAAAACACTTAAAGTAACACGTTCACGTGTTAAAATCGATTTTAATAGAAAAATAATAAATGTTTATCTGCTATACACTATTCATATTGATAACGAATTTATAAGCATAAAAATGCCGGGAAACCGAAACCAGCTGTTTGTTTTTGTTCTAATACTTATACTGAATGGCCGTACTAAATATAAAATCGTTCGCCAACAGCCGATTATTTTATATAACATACAAAAATAATTGTGATATGACGACTACGAGTCGTCATCGGCTGGGCGCGCCCGACATCGGATGACGACTACGCGTCGTCACCGGCGTTCAACGTTTTAAGCCGGATTCACTCAATAACATTTTTTTTATAAAACTATTTTAAACTATGACATGTCATGACAAAAATATTTACAATAAAATAGAAATGTATGGAACTACTTTGACAGAAATATTTTGATTGTTCACACTATAAATTAAAATATATCTTTTTTTTTTAACTTTTATTATAAGGCGTACAATCTGTAAATTAGTTATTACAATAAGTATGCATGCGGAATATATACTATAGCTTGACATTGGTACGTGATAAAAGCAGCCACCCAATGGCGACACTTTCTAAAAATATATCTGATCACGATCGACAGCCACATAACTAGAGGTTGTATTTAATTACTACTTTTTAAATCTGTTAAAGGGAATTCGATAGGGAGATACATACGCTATTCGTTGACTTCAAAAAAGCATACGACAGTATTCATAGGGAAAGTCTCATAAATATTCTGAAAGAGTTCGATTTTCCCCGGAATCTGGTCAATCTAGTTTCAATCAGAATCATGGAAACCGTAGTCAAAGTAAAAGTCGGAAATTGAAGTCTGATCCACTTACAGTAAAATCCGGCTTTAGACAGGGTGATTCCATCTCACCTATTCTTTTCAACCTGGTATTGGAAAAAGTAATAAGAGAGATGAAAATTGAACCCCGCGAAGGAATAAAACTCCGGGACTCAAATATTCCATTATTGGCATATGTCGATGATGTAGTACTGATGGACGAATCTCAAGATGGAGTTAAATGGCTCTGTGACAGACTTAATGACGCAGCACAGAAAGTAGGACTACAAATTAATGAACAAAAAATCTGAATATATGATTATAAGTAGAAAAAATTGGATGGATCACGTTCTAGAGGTAGATCATTTTAAATTTAAGAGAGTCAATTCCTTCAAATATCTTGGCTCAATTGTGACGGGAAAAAATGATATCACCAAGGAAGTAGCCGCGAGAATCCAAGCGGGGAACAGGACTTATTATGGTTTGGAGAAACTATTAAGTTCTAAATCATTATCAAGAAAGTTAAAGGGACGTTTGTATACTAGTCTAATACGGTCAGTGATATTGTACGGATCGGAAACCTGGGCACTAAGGAAATCAGATGAGAATCAGTTTTTAATACTAGAAAGGAAAATATTACGAAAGATCTTCGGTCCAATAAAAGATAACATCACAGGAGAGTGGAGAAGAAGGAAAAATATAGAGCTACAAGAAATTTTTAATGAAAAAAACATAGTAGAGACGATCAAGAAAAAAAGGTTGAGGTGGGCAGGTCATGCAATGCGAAGCCAGAACTCTTTACTAAGAATGGTTTTAGAACAGAATCCAGTAGGAAAAAGGCCCTTGGAAAGACCAAAGTTGAGATGGGAAGATTTAGTTAAGAGAGATATAGAAGACTTAGGAGGCGGAGCAAACTGGAAGGATTTGGCGATGGATAGAGATGCCTGGAGAATTGGTTGTGAGACGGGATGGTCCTAGCGGCCGAACCCAAGAAGAAGAAGAAATCTGTTAAAATTTCAGTATATAATATATTGTATTTACTATTAAAAACCATTATATAGAAGCGTAAACAAATAATTAGTTTTGTTATTGAAAGTTTGAGAAAAAAGAAAAAAAGGCGAAAAATTTATGTGAATACTAATGGCTTCAAAATGTGATGTGTTTTAATGGCTCACCAATTTATATTTTGGATTCTAAAGACGAGGAATATTTTTATGTTCTTCAAATTTGAGAGTGCCCCAAACAGTCCAATCATTTTTTAAATTTGATGTTGTAATTTTAAACCTTATAAAAATAAAAGAATTTTAAAAACTCTAGAAATCAAACACCTAACTGTAATTGTCAAATATTTTGATTAGTCAAAACAACTGATGACAGTCTATTATTAATCACACTGTTGACATTTATTTCAGACATGTTCAGACTGGCACTAGAATTGTTCCGCAGAAATTTGATAAATGTTAAATAAATCTATCATACGTGGACAGTTATTGTTATTAGAGAATAGAATAATGTTGTTATACAGTTATTTCGTTATTAAAATGTCGTCGTTTGAGTCCGGCTTTATGGAAAAGTATTATGTAAATGTGTAGATAAAACATTACCATCTTATTTGTTTCATTCTTTGTATAATATAATCATTAAAATGTAAAATTTATATACTCGATTATTGTCAATTAAAATTCTTATAAGTATTAAAAGCTTATCATGTAATGACAAAAACAAGGAATTTATTTATGAAACAATTTGTTTTATTTATTAGGAATTTAAAAGTAAAATTCTTCTTCGATCCACTTAAAATTTGTATAACATTTGATAAATGGACATAAAAACATGAAAATAGTTTATCAATGTATCTCACTATAAGAATTTACTTTAATGTGAAGTATCAAGTCACAAAATTATACACTAATAAGTAATATATTGCTATAGATTCTTTCAAAAATTGAAATCTTGCAATCTAAAATTAAGTTATATTATATATTATATTATTATGATTTAGCTGGAGTTCAATACTAGAGAAAAATATGATATCTACATTTTACAATTTAAGTGATAAAATAAAATTATTATAAAGTGATTTGTAAATGTAGCACGGACCAGAAAAAAAAGTAAGCAGCCCACCCAGTTCCATATTACTAAAAATCTATCTGTAGTCTCTGAATGATCAGAAAATCAGCAACTACTTATATTTACAGTTAGTTATAAAATAAAATTGACCTTTGAAAAAGAATATTATATTAAGCAGTAATATAAAAATAATGGAAGAACACATTATATATCACTGGTAATGTTCAAATCCTTCAATAAAAAATATACAATTTTTCTTAACGTACCATGTAATTTATTTCTTCAAGATAAAATTCATGAATTGTAATTTTATACACAATTTTGACATTACTGTTAACTAATAATAAGAAAATTAAATGATTTGTAAATGATGTTATAAAATGAATTTTAATGTTTATGGTAGTATAAAAACAAATAATTCCAACCATTTATAAAATGATGAATTATATAAATAAGAAAATAAAAAAAATATTATATATATATATATTAGCTAATTGTTAACCTAACTGCTTAACATAATCCAAAAGGAAGTAAAACTTTAGCAGTCTTATATACAATAAATGAATTTACAAATACATTCATTTAAAGTTCATCTTTTTCTGAATCTCCAGCAGGCGGAGGAGGAACACCACCAGTACTAGCATATAATTTTGATATGATGGGATTGACAACGCTTTCCAATTCAGTTTTGTGTTGTTTGTGTTGTTCAGGGTCAGCATCTTGGTTTTCATCCAACCATTTAATTTTGGCATCAATAATTTCTTCCATCTTGGTCTTTTCGGCATCTGACAACTAAACAAAACACAAAAAATAGTTTAATAAAAAAGAAAATTAATAAAAATAGAAATATCATAGATGTATAATTTATTAAAAGATAAAGATATGGTAATAAATCTTACCTTTCCTCCCAATTTTTCTTTATCACCAATTTGGTTCTTTAATGAATATGCATAAGATTCTAAATCATTCCGGGACTCAACACGTTCCTTTAATTTCTTGTCATCATCAGCAAACTTTTCAGCTTCCTTAATCATACGTTCTATGTCATCTGGAGTCAATCGGTTTTGATCATTGGTGATAACAATCTTTTCTCGGTTACCGGTTCCTTTGTCTTCAGCACTTACTTGGAGAATACCATTAGCATCAATTTCAAATGTGACTTCAATTTGAGGAACTCCTCTGGGTGCTGGTGGTATACCTGTAAGGTCAAATTTTCCAAGGAGATGGTTATCCTTTGTCATTGGTCGTTCACCTTCAAATACTTGAATAGTGACTGTGTTTTGATTATCAGCGGCAGTAGAGAAAATTTGGCTCTTTTTAGTAGGAATTACAGTATTACGAGGAATCAATTTAGTCATAACTCCACCAACAGTTTCAATACCCATTGTTAAAGGATTGACATCCAAAAGAATTATTGCATCCGTATCTTGCTCACCAGACAAAACTCCAGCTTGAACTGCAGCACCATAAGCAACAGCTTCATCAGGATTGATACCTCGAGAAGGCTCCTTACCATTGAAATATTCTTTAACAAGTTGCTGTACTTTAGGTATTCTTGTACTACCACCAACCAAAACAATTTCATCAATATCTTTTTTATTCATATCAGCATCTTCCATAACCTTTTGAACAGGTTTCATGGTTGATCTGAACAAATCCATGTTTAGTTCTTCAAATTTAGCACGAGTCAAGGTTTCTGAGAAATCATCTCCTTCAAAGAAACTTTCAATTTCAATACGAACTTGGTGGCTGGCAGATAATCCACGCTTAGCTTTTTCAACTTCACGCCTTAATTTTTGAACAGCCCGATTATCTTTTCTGATATCTTTACCTTTCTTTTTCTTATACAACTTAATGAAATGATCCATAACTCTCTGATCAAAATCTTCACCACCTAAATGAGTATCTCCATTGGTTGACACAACTTCAAAAACACCATTATCAATGGTCAATAATGATACATCAAAAGTACCGCCACCCAAATCAAACACCAAAACATTTTTTTCGCCCTCTCGTTTATCTAAACCATATGCAATAGCTGCTGCAGTTGGTTCATTAATGATTCTCATAACAGTAAGGCCAGCAATAGCTCCGGCATCTTTTGTAGCTTGACGTTGACCATCATTGAAATAAGCTGGTACAGTAACCACTGCATGTGTAACAGTCTTTCCTAAGTAAGCTTCAGCAGTTTCCTTCATCTTAGCTAATACCATAGCAGAAATTTCTTCAGGTGCAAATACTTTTGAAACTCCTTCAGAAGTTTCTACTTCAATATGTGGTTTTGTATTTTTTTCTATCACCTAGAACACAAAGTTAAATAAATAATAATGAAATATTAATATATTTAGACACATTTAATTAATGTAAATTAAACTATTTTACCTTGAATGGGAAGAATTTAACATCATGTTGAACATTGGCGTCAGACCAATCTCGACCAATTAATCGCTTAGCATCAAATACTGTATTTTCAGGGTTTGTTGTAAGTTGATTTTTGGCTGCATCACCAATCAGACGTTCTCCTTCTTTGGTGAATGCAACATATGATGGTGTAATTCTATTACCTTGATCATTGGCTATGATTTCTACTCGTCCATTTTTATAAACTCCAACACTGCATTTTTTTTTTTATAGATAGATAGTCAATAAATCATTTTAAATACAGAAATGTTCCAAGATATAATCAATTTTTTCTTTATTCTTTTAAAAATTATACTCAAAACCAAATATAATATGTTTTTAACTGTAATCATTTTATTTAGTTTGAAAATTCAAAAATACTATTTAGTTTCCTAAGAATTATAATAATTTCACTAAATCAGAATACCTTTTATTAACAATATAAATTAATATTTTAATTGATAATTGCAAAAACATTACAAGTTACATATTTTACTAAAATCTCAATTTCATAAAATATGTAACCTGTGACGTATCTGCGATCATCAATTAATTTAGGAATTTATAGGTTATTTGCCTCTTTAGGTTTTAACTTAATAATAAATCAATAATAGAAAAAATAATAAAATAAATAAAAAAATAAAATGTAATAATTGGTAAAAATTGTCTTAAACTGAATAGAAAGATCTTAACTAATTATTACGGAATGAATTAAGATCATATATGAATTTGTCAAACAGATTTTTGAGATATTAAAATGTTAGAATTATTCAATATTTTAAGTAAATAATGAAAACATGTTTTATCTAATGCCACCTGTATATTTTGATGATGTGACAATTTTATTTCAGGTCATATAATTTGCTTTTTATTTTTAGCAAAATCAATTTGGTAACACTCATTACATTATAACATTAAAATGTAAGAGTCAATAATGAAATAATAAAACATGTTTTTAATATGTATATATATATAATCTACCAATGATGAATAACAACATATGTTAAACTGTCTATAATAATATTAATAATGAAATCAAATGAATGCTCCCATTGAAACATAATGGTAATAAGAAAATAGCAACCATAAATTAAAAACTGAAATAAATCATAATTACCAAGAATATGTTGTGCCTAGATCAATACCGATAACTGTACCAAGTTCTTCTTTGGACTTTCCAGCATCTTTAGCTGTTACATGACAGACTAAGAATAACAATGACCAAAAAGCACAAATGTACTTTTTCTGGTCCATGCTTGAGTTTGGGTACCTAAAAGAAAAATGTAATAAGTCAGAACATTTAATAATTTATTCACTTATATTCGTAAAAAACTAATACAACAAAAACAGAAATAAAAATATTCACCTAACAATAGCTATTAATTATATTATAAGAAATATTAAAATACTATTTAATGTACAACTTCAGACGAATTTTACAAGGAGGCAAACAACAGCTTACATAAACAACATAGATGAGAATGACAAATGAAACACCGGAAAACTGACGGAATTACTGCTTTCGTTGCATATCTATATACAGTTTTACGAACATGTGGGATGTTTTTATTGGTCAACTACAAATCACTTGTCTTGTTCTTATTGGTCCACGTCCGAAGATAGAAAAAGAAAAAAGCAGTTTAACATAACCCTAACAACTTATAACATCTTTGAATACCAAAGGCTACACAAATCATGGTATGTGGCATTAAATTATCAGTTATTGGTTTCATATTGTTGATTACAGCAATTTCATTAATAGTTAAAAAAATTTAACCCTTGCCCTTCATAAAATTATTCGAGACGCCCGCCAAGGTGAATCTTTAATTATTTTCAGTTATTTCTTACTGGTTTCATATTTTTAAAAACATTTAACCACTAAAGAAAAATGGCTTTCTCGATCTCTTTTCAATCGTCGATTTTAACGGTACCTATTTTCTAACATTACTAAGAATACATAATTTTCATAAACGTATTTTTAAAATTTAATTTTTTTAGACTACTATTGGCGTATTTAAAAGGTCATTATCCACTACACGTATGCTAGCTAATAAACAGGTTAGGTTACAATCCTATTTAATGATTTTATAACTTGATTTAACATTTTATCATTTCACTTGTATAGATGACTGTTAGGGATGCATTAAATACAGCAATGGACGATGAAATGGAACGTGATGAAAGAGTTTTTATTTTAGGTGAAGAAGTAGCATTGTATGATGGTGCTTACAAAGTTTCTAGAGGATTGTATAAAAAGTATGGTGAACAACGAGTGATTGACACCCCTATTACAGAAATTGGCTTTGCAGGAATTGCTGTTGGTGCAGCTATGGTATTATATTGTACTTCATTATTATATTATTTTATAATGTACTTTCTTCAAAATGGAGTTAAAATAAAATAAATTTGATGAAATACACTTGTATTTCATTGTAATTAATATATACACCAAATTTCCTATTAGATATAAAGTGCTGTACAATTTTTCTATTGACTTGCTCATTTAGCATAATTTAATTACATTTTTGATATCTTTAAGTGTATTCTGCGATGCTTGGATGAATAATAATGTTTACTTTTTTTCTGAGCTGTTACCTGCCAGAAATAAAAGCTACTTGTCTAGAAATAGTGGCCGATTTTGGCTTGGTTTGAACCATTACTGCATTTTTGCATTGTTACTGTCAATAGTGCCACTTTTAAATTAAAATAGACATTAAGTAAACATAAAATTATGTCTGCTCTTTAATTTTCCTAGACTGATAATTGAAAAATTATGAAATTAAAAAAAATTTATATATGGTTATAATTAGCATAATTGTAATGGTTATTTTCTATTTTTAATATTTAAGTTATCATAACTCTAACATATAAAGACATTTATTATTGAAATACTTTAGGCTGGATTAAGACCAATCTGCGAGTTTATGACATTCAATTTTTCAATGCAAGCTATTGATCATGTTATTAATTCAGCAGCGAAAACTTTTTATATGTCAGCTGGCAGGGTGAGTAATATATTTTATATATAGTTTTAAATCCAAATCATTTTCAAAAAAAATGCATTTTCAATTTACTTAATTTTATAATTATTTTTAATACCAGATTACAGTGAAATAAATATCATAACATACCAGTATGACAACATAAAAAATTGAATTCATTGAAATTTTATCAATGTTAACTTGTGAATTATATTGCTTAAATTATAATATTAGATACCATATTTGTATAAGAAAATTGAAGCATAATATAACATATAGAATATGTTTTATAATTTTAGGTAAATGTACCAATTGTATTTAGGGGACCAAATGGAGCTGCTGCTGGTGTTGCTGCCCAACATTCTCAATGTTTTGGAGCATGGTATGGACAGTGTCCTGGTTTAAAAGTAAACTATAATTTTTTGAATGAACTATTATATAACCTATAAAAATCCAATATTTAATAGATGATAGACAGTGTTTCTTTTAGGTTATTTCTCCATATAGCTCTGAAGATGCTAGAGGATTATTAAAAGCAGCTATTCGAGATCCAGATCCAGTAGTATTTCTAGAAAATGAATTATTATATGGTAATCAATATCCAATCACTGATGAAGTGTTGGATAAAGAATTTGTATTACCAATTGGCAAAGCAAAAATTGAAAGAAAAGGTAAAAAGAGTAAATGATAATGGATAGCCTCAAAATATACAATGATGTTTGTTTTTAGGTGACCATATTACACTTGTAGCACATTCCAAAGGAGTTGAATTAGCCTTAGAGGCAGCAAAAGAATTGTCTTCTGTTGGAATTGAAGCAGAAGTTATTAATTTACGTTCATTAAGACCACTTGATATTAATACTATTATAGAATCAGTAGTACGAACAAATCATATTATATCTGTGGAACAAGGATGGCCATATGCGGGTATTGGATCAGAGATAGCAGCTCAAATCATGGAAAGTAAGTTTGAAAGAGTTTTTTAACTGATCCTATTTTATAAGCATTCTTCCAATTGTTCTCGCATTTCAGGTGAAGCTTTCTATCACTTAGATGCACCACTTATAAGAGTAACCGGTGCAGATGTTCCAATGCCATATACTAAATCATTAGAGATTGCTGCATTACCACAAATAAATGATATTGCAGAAGCTGTTAAAAGAATATTAGGTGTTAAAGACGTTTAAATGAAAAACTGATCTATTTTATAGAACAAACTCTGATTGAAATTTAGATGCAACTTTGCCTATTATTATAACCAATTTTTACTATTGGTCTAATAAATTAATTCCATTTATGTTAAATATTTAAAGCGTTTAATTGTTTTTTCATTAAAATTTGTTAGTTATAACAATGCAATATAATTAAGAATACATTTTTTTTTAAATATTGTATTTAATGTTTAACGATATAAATTCATATTTTTCGTTAATAACATTTAAGTATCTCAATGAATTAAACTGCTAATTAAATTAACTTGAAATTAATAAAAAAGGATATCTAAATCACTCGGCTGATTTAAAAAATCCGTAACTTCTTATAAATGCATTATTGTGCCACTAATTTTCTTAGAGAAAAAATTATATTTATTGATTTTACTAAAGCGGATTTATTACAATTATACTTTTTCATGAAATGACATAATTTATACTTGAATGAAGATTATTTTGAACAGTCTTTGGTATGAACTGGTTTTGATTTAATCAAATTTGTTGCTTGTAAATCACCACTAATTGCAATGTAACAAAAGGCTCCTCCTTCAGCTGGTGTTGGTTGATCTGTTAAAAACTCATTGACATCATTTTGAGTAGGTACAGTCAGTGGATAGCTATCTTTCAATTTATCCATAGCTTTTTCTAAATTAACCAATGGCCCGTCAGGTGGAGGATGTTCAAATGGTCCAGTTAGTCGCAGATCATATAAATAACCTAGTAATGCCATCATGTAATCATTACGCACACCTTTCATTTTTGTACATGTCATATCCATACGGATACCACATAGTTTTTGTAGCCATTTTGCTACTCTAGTCTTATCTTGAATAGTAGTCATTAATGCTGCATAAGGTCGAGAAATGTGAAGAAGATACTGAAATTCCCAGTCTAGTAATGAACTAAATATAGCTTTTTTGTTTTTATCAGTTTGTATTTTTTCTCTTTTGGCATTAAACTCATCTACAGATATATTAGATGTATACAGTATTTCTTCATCATCATCGTCCTTTTCAGGACATTTAACATGCATAGAACAAATAGGTGCAGTATCATCTTCATCTTTTAACATTTCTTCCCACATGGTATCAACTTCCCATGTTGCCAAAGGAATTGAAGGAATAGTAAAACTTTCTGGCGATTTTAAAGGACCAGCAGGTGGAATTGACTTAAATACACCATACATTTCATCATTAAGAATAGATAATATCATGTTAAAAAGGTACCTATTGCGCTTAATTTTAAAAAAATTTGTGGCATATTCGGCTGCATACAATTTTCTGATCCAAGGTATTACTTTAACTTTATCCTTTTCTTTGCTCAAATTTGGTGCAAATTTTTTCAACATCACAGTGTAATAAACAAATTCAATATTAATAGAATCATCATTTTTTATGCAGACAACTTGATCGCTTTCAGGTAACATAAGTGATGATTGTCGACTTATCCCAGTACGAATGCTAGCTCCATCATAGCTCGCTGCTTCTGAATCAGGATTCATATTGAATTTAAGCTATTTTAAACTTATAAAAAAAAAAAATTAAATTTTTTTTATAATGGTGTACTTATTTAATAATTTATATAAAATGTAAAAAATAAAATGATTAATAAACAATCTAAAATGAATTCAATAAACAAATAAAATTGATTTTGTTAATAGCCAAACTATATATTAAAAAACCATTTATAATAAGAAATACAAATATTTTTATTAAAAAATAAAAAAAAAATACATTTTTTTGTTGAAATGGAAATCTATTAACCATACAAAATTATGAATCATAGTTTATTTTATTTTAAAAAGTGATCATTACATGATAAATAATATAGTATTAATATACATTAACTTCTATAATTTTTTTAATTAACTTGCTTAATCTCTCTGAGCAATCTGAGTCAAATGACGATCAACTTCTAGTTCAGTTAAAACCCTATATTCAAATTAAAAAATGTATATTAGCATTCTAAATTGAATTAAAAATATATTTTTAAATCAATAATTTTGGTCATATAATGACAGTAGAAAAAATATTTTTACTGTTATATGGCAGTTTCTTTATAGTATTAGTATAACATGTTTTTATAGACCTATATAAATATATATATATATTTAAAATTTTTATTTATTATATTATTCAAATAAAAAGGTCCTAGATTAGGTCCAGATATTTAAAGTTTAAATTAACATGATAAAAGAATCCCAATTAATGTTTTTAATATAAAATTTATACAATACACTTCAAAATAAATAACAAATAATAAGTATTTAAAATAATGGAAATATCTATAGTAAGTTATAGTTAGCAAAAGAAAATAGCAAAAAGATAGAATAAGAGAAAGTAAAAGCTCACTCAAATAACACTATACATTAATATATAAAGATACAATATATATATATACTTTACAGTATTATGGATAAAACTAATTTTAAAGATAGTGGCAGCTCTGGTTCAAGTTCTTTTTTCATAAATCATCACATTTATGCTTATTAAAATAGTTTTATAAATCAATTATTATATATAATTAAGTTTCAAAAATATTTGAATGGAAAAATTTTACCAACTGAAAGAATATTTCTTATTTATATAATATTTTAATGCTGTATAAGATGGAAACCTTTTAAGTTTTAGTTAATTTTACATACATAAAATGCTTATATTTAATAAAATATTTATAAAAGAATTAAAATTTTTGATACCCAAAATTGATCAAGAATTTTATTTGTTTTTTAAATATATACACATAATCATACGGAACATATATATACACAGAAGAGTCTTGATAGTCCAGCCCTCAATAATCTGATGAACATAGTAATTCAGGCAGCATAATATAAATATAAATCCATTTGTTCAGAATATTTAAAATATTCAGAAAAAAATGACTGACTACTATACTTAAGTTCTATTATTATAAAGCATTTTGTTTTTAGTTCATTATGTTAAAATAAATCATTTTTTTTTTGTAGTAATTTAAAGTGCAATAAATTTAAAGATGGTAGAAATAATTCTATGACATTTAAGTAGATCATTTTGATAAACCTTCGGTAATCCGGACGATTGTTGGTCTGAATTCGTCTAGACTATCAAGGCTCTACTGTATAAAATTATAATTTTAAATTTATAGTGATAAATGGTAATTAATCAAAAAAACTTACTCAAATTCTTTATTTTTAATAGACACAATACCAACTTCAATATCACTTGGTTTAAAATCAACAGCTAAGACATGTGACAAACATGATATGGCCAACTAAGAAAAAAAAAAACAACACTAACTAAACAATTTTGCAAAATAAAAAATAAAAATTAATATTCTCAAAATGAGATATACTTCAATAGCTTCATCTTTTGAAAATTCCTTTTTTTTTTTCAATTTCTTTTCTAAATAAGTATTAGCTTCAGTTTGTTTAGTTCCAACTGATATAGCATGAAAAGAACAATAATATCCTGCTGGATCTGTCTTGAACACCATGGGTCCTTTTCTATCATCTATTCCAATTAATATCATACCTAGCAATAAGAATAACTAATTATTTTTCTATTAATATATTTTAGTTAAACTAAAATACTTTTACAGATTTCATCTTAACTATAAATTCCTATTGTCCAATATTATTTTTTACTTACTACATCCAAGAGGTCTCATTTCAGCATTTTGAGTGTAAACTTGAGAAATATCAGCCATACGACTACATAATGTTTCTACTGGCATTTCAAAACCATTTTTATATTTATATTCACATGCTTCAGCTCTAGCTCTATAAACTTGAGAATGTCCATCAGCTATTAAAATAATAATGTATAACATTTTGTAAAATTCGTAAAATTCAAATAAATCAAAAAAAAAAATTAAATTAATATTATATACAAAAAAAAAAAAAAAAAAATGTCTAACAAACCTGTCATTCCAGTCATAACACATCCAATGCCTTTGGTAATCCGGAACAAATGTGTTACAGTTTTAGGATCAATTAATTTGTCCTATAATAACACGAAAATAGTAATAAATATATCTAAAAATATATGTATAAAAATATTATATTATAATTACTATAAATTAATATTAATAACAAATTAAATACTTGCATTGAAAATTATAAAAATGATACTTTTTTATTTTATCTTTTATACATAAATAATATATTAATATTGCTTTATTATATTATATCCTTCTTAACTAAAAATCAAAGTATATCTCATAAAGAATATTACTTATATGTCATTTCATTATGTGACAATCAATCATTGTCGATTTATCATAACAAAATTTATCTTTACATAGTTTGTTATCACTTGCATATGATTCTGATTTAACGCCTTCTTTTAAATGTATATATTTAGTTTTGATGTCCGATTTTACTTTCATTGATAATGAAAAAAAAAACAGACATGCATTTACATCTGGATTTTTTTTTTTTTTTGTATAACTAATACTATAACTAATAAAAATAGAAATATCAGGATATAGCTTCAATCCATGAGAGCAGGGAACACCTACTGATCCAATTTTGTTGTACAGTGTTCTGATAAGGGTAAGTAGACCTCTACTGTGATCTTTCCCAACAACGCTAGGTGAATAGAAAGTTTGAAAACTTTCCATCTCATGCAACTCATGCAGCTTTTTCAACTGATTTCTTCACCGAATCTGCTGTGCCGCATGGGTCAGGTTTTTGCATTGTGGGTCACTTGAAAATTACACTGAGGAAGAATATGTGTTTCACATTCTCAAGTGCTGACAATCTTTGCAAAGAATAGATCCCTCTCAGAAAGAGTAGGAAAGTGGCGTGGAGATGGATCTAACCAACACGCATTCAGCCGGCTTCCGATGAAGGTCATTCAATGTTTTATGTGAGTTTCATATAAATAATGGTGACACATCACCAGAAGCATTGCTTGACAGATTTCCCAGGTACTGGTTGAATTGTATGGTGTTATTTAAAAAAAAAAAAATACTCATTCAAAAATTTAAAAAATTACAAAAATTTCAACAATGGCTATTTTATGAATACTTATAAAACACTCATAATTTTTAAAAACTAACTATAAATATTTTTGATTATTATAATTCATTTCAATATTATCAATTTTCATTATTCATTATTTTCGTTATTGTAATATGTTGATAAAATAATTTTTACATATTTTTCAAATATTAAAATTTTAATAGATTTGTGAATTGTCCTGTATTTTTCCTTTTTTTAACAAATTATGAAATTTAACCAATAATAAAGTTACTTATATAATTAATTTTAAAAAAATGTATGGCAAATTTACATTAATAAACTGTGTATACATAAAATATAACATTTACATATGCTATTATATAAATAATAATAGTTTGATGCAGTATTACTTATATAAATTATAAATTAAATTTAATGTTATGGGAAATCATTATAAAATGTATCAAATACCTTTTATCTATTAGACTTAATCATGATACAATACTTAAAGTAACCATTTAATTGAATAAAAACTTCACAGAACAGTAAAAAACTTACATTAATTAAAACTATTTGACATGTCTAATGATCTAGAAATAAAGTATCAAATAGTAATAAGAATAGTACATTTCAGACTGAAAATTTTGTTGATAATAAACAACCTTAATGAAAATACATTTCAATATTTATTGTAATTATTAATGAAAGATGTTACTAGATGATAACTAATGTTTTCTTTTTGTATCATTGAGAAAGTATTTTGAAAATGAACAGATTGACTCCTACGAGCATGCTGGCAACGTAAACTGAATTATTCTTCAGGGGCTACTTAGATCACCAACGGTTCAAATCTATCATTTTATTCAATAGACTATATTTTTTGATGGCATAGAGATGAAGACTTCCTTATGACACTGCTGGAGGGCTTGTGTCAGTCAACGTCTTAAGTATATCAATTTATTATTATGTTATTTTCAAAGTGAAAATAAAAGTAGAAACCTAAATTTATTCGCCAACTTAAAATGTATACAATTTAAATGAAAATAACTTAATTTATAGTTATGTATCATATACTAGATAGAATAATTTACTGTAAAAAAATGTAATTATTACATCATAATATGTCCATAATATTTTACAAAGGTAAAAATTTAAAAATGAAATTAAACAAAATCAAAAATCATACCGGCACTTTTCTCTGAGTAGCAACCACAGCAACATCAACTCCTTTAATTGCAACTGATGTAAGTCCACCTTGTAAAATTGCTTTAATTGCATACTCTACAAAATTTATTATAAAAATAATAGACTTAATTTACACATGATTATACAAATTACAAATATAATAGTTTTACACACCAACTTGATACAGCCGTCCTTCAGGGGAAAATATAGTAATATGTCTGTCAAATCCAGCACTAGTTCCACGAGACATTATTACTTTATTGTGTCGATATTAACAACAAAATTTGTTAAATTATTACAAAATTTTAAGACCAACAGCAGAGACGATTTTCATAAATTTGTTTTAATCTTCTAGATGATTTTTAAAAATAATACATATTCAAACATAACCAAAAAATCTCTTATCAATACATATTTACTGTAAATATGGTATAATCAATGGTATAGAAAGTTTACGCAAAAAAAAAAAAAATATTTTCTTTTTTTTTTAAATGGCGTTTATTGAGAATTTACAATTTGTACATTGTATACAATAAGTAAATATGATGTGGTAAAAATAAATAATAAAAACCACTTTGAATGTCTTGACAAAACACTCACAGTCGAGTCACCTTTTATAATGACTTAAATAAAATGTAATAATATATGTATATTTTATATGTTAAGAAGATCTCTGCACCATTTGTTTTTGAGACGTCTTTTGGAGGTGTCTTCGAGGTTAATTGTGAGATGAGGTGATTTTGGTTCATAAGGAGTATTCCATGAAACCTTGAGTAGATATTTATGGTTGTGTCGTGGACGGTTATAATTTGGAAGTCATCTTGGGGGTAATTTCTTCGTTAAGTACCAAGGAACTTCAACAATGATACGTAAACAAAATTAATTGAACAGCTTGAATCGTTTGAATATGTGATTTTTTTGCTGGGTCCAAAACATGATGCCGTATATCCAAATGGGACGGAAGAGACATTTGTAAATGAGAATTTTGTTTTGTATATTGATGTTAAATCTTAGTAAGAGCTAAAGTAGGTGAAGCATACTATTTAACTTTTTTCGTTTATTCTTGAGGTGAAGAACCCAAGTAAGTTTTTTATCGAGTGTGAGACCGATATATTTGACATGGATGCAATGCGGAATAGTGCAATTATTCTAGATCGGTGGGCAGTCTTGTGGTCATAGGGAAAAGGCAATATGTGATGATTTAGTTTCATTGATTTTAATTTCTCATTTATTGAACCAAGAGATAAGGATATTTAGGTAGATTTGGATTTGTTGATAGTGATAGATTAGGGATTATGATTGATCGTTGTATGAATTACATTTTTAATAATGGAACCACAAAATAGATAATATTTTCATCTATTCTGTGGTGGAAATACTAAATCGTGTTTATAGTATTCTCTTTCTAGTATGTAAAGTTCTTTATAATCATGGTATAAAAGTTAAAGTACCGTGATATAAATGATAAGGAATTGAGGTTCGATTTTGATATTTTATGATAAAACCTAGTGATGGGCATAATCGTATTATTTCTATAATAGAGTTATTAGTATTCGATATATTATTATAATCGAGTTATCATTCAAAATTTTTAATTGATATTAGTAATATTAGTTATTACTCGAATAGTAGATGATCAATATATTTTCATAATCGAAATAATTACACAAAATGTTCAATTAATATGATAACTTGGAATAATATAAGTTTGTTATTAGTCGGTATTCGTTATAGTCAAAATTATCAATAAAAATAAAAATGTGCATAAATCATAATCTCATTTTTTTTTTTTTTTATTTAAACGTCAAACTAGCAAATTATTTTAGACATAAATAATAATAGTTACTAATAAATTTAAGATTTGTAATCACTTAAACGAATTTAAATTACTATTTAAAAAAATTATATAATCTAAATTTTTAGAAGTTAATCTGCTTCGACGGTCGTTAGTTATTTGCTCCATTTTTGAAAATACTCGTTCCGAATAGTATTTTTTTTAAATGTTCCCATACTATTGAACATTGTTTACTACCCGGCCTCATTTTTAAATTTTAAAAATAAATAATTTTTAATAAATAGGTAAAGAACTAAAACCTAATGAACAGTTAGTAAACAGTGTCGACTGTTAACGCGTACTAGTGAGTACAAATTGAAACAATATTTATTTATATCAAATAATGACTAATATTATTCATTCAATTGTTAACGTTGTTCGGAGTTTTGGACTTAGGATTCTAAAAATAAAGTTTCGAATAAGGAGTGATGATACTTGAGTTACTATAGTTCGAGTTAAAAAACATTCGGTTATATAATCGATTATTATTTTAATAATCGTGATATCTCGATTATTATCAACAATCGAGTAACTTGATTATGCCCATCACTAATAAAATCACAGATTATACGAAAATAAATAAAAACTCGTAATATTAAGTTTATATAAACTAAAATATATAAATTAATTATTAAACATTTTATATAATTTAAAATTATTTGATTTTATTAAAAATATAAATGTTTTTTTTATAAAGTTTCAGTTAATTTTAATTGGTAAATATCTACTAATTCCATCATCTAAAATATTGTAATCTTTTGATTACTTTTTCAATAGATGTCAAATAACTTTTTAAAATTTTTTTTGATTAATTTTTTTTTTATTTTTGTCACAACTGTAATAATTATTAAACTTATATTGTGAAATGTTGTTTCATAACACAATATTATAATAACCAATTCTAATTTAATAAAAATAAAAATTTGTTGAAAATGTTAAGCTTTCAACTAAGAAAGTTGGTTCGTAGTGTGCATACTATAACAACTTTTCCAAAAAATATCCTTGTTCAACATGACTTGACTAAATATTTTAAAGATAAAATAAGTATAAGTGGTCCAATTACAGTGGCAGAATACATGCGTGAATCATTAAAAATGTACTATAATAGCAGAAAAGTTTTTGGGTCTGATGGAGATTTTATAACCTCTCCTGAAATTAGTCAACTGTATGGTGAAGTAAGCAAATTACATTATTAATAATAATTTTGAGATATTGTATAGACCTAAAACATTAATTGATTTAATGATTCTCTATGTTTATAATTAATGATAAATAACTTTTTTTTTATTTTTTAATTTATTATAATATAAACTATTATAATATTATTATTAACTATTATTAAGTTTTATTTAAAATGCAATTGTATAATAATATTTGTTTGAAAAAAATAAATATTGTTTTTGCAAGTTTATTAATATATAAATAGATAATGGTTAGATTATTATATTTACTTTGAACCAATTTTCATAAATTCTTCAACAATGTGACTAAATTATATTGAAGTCTGAAAGAATATGAGTTAATTTTCTCAGTAGAAGATTTACTACAAAATAAGATAATATTTAATCCGATATAATGTATATTTATTTATAGATGTTGATGTTGTGGTTATTAAGTATGTGGGAAAAAGCTGGGTGTCCATCTCCCATAAATATAATAGAACTTGGACCTGGAACTGGTGTCATGATGATGGATATGCTAAGAGTAAGATTACCTATCAATTAACATAAATATAAGTACATAATATAATATTTTAAATAACTAAAAGAGTTAAAAAAAAAGTTTTATAAGTATTTATTAAGAAAAAATAAAATGTAATCAAATAATAAAAAAATTTGTTCATACTTAGGATTGGATTTATATTGTAATATAGTGTTTTGCTTTCTTGCAGAATTGTATTTATTTAATTGAGTTTGTTTAATTCAATTTTACTATGTACATGTTTATTAGATAGTAAAATGTTAACATAACTATTAATTATTATATAAAATTTGCATTATTATTCTACCTTAAAATATTTTTGTACATAAAAAATTAATAGTTTTAATCATTGGTGTAGCCGGAAAAATATTTGGAAGGGGTTTAAATTTTAAATTCTTTTTCCTAATTAAGTATCATCTTTTTAATTTTATTAAGTCCATAAAACTTAAGTTAAAATATAAGATTTGTTATCATTTAGTTAGTTAGAGCATGAAAATTGATGACATGGTATAAAGTTATACCTATGTTTTTAAAAATTATTGTATATCTTACAAAATAAGAGAATCATTTGGGGAGGGAGATTTATAATACGTTAGCCCTACCCCCTTGGTTCTAATAATTATAAATTTTTTTTTTTAATAGATGTTAAAACAAACTCAATATAACGCACTTGATTTAAGTATACACATGGTAGAAACAAGTAAAAAATGTAGTTTAGAACAAGCCAATAAATTATGCTGTTCAGAATTATTGAAAGATATGTCTAATAATTTTTATCAGTGTGGTACAACTTCAGAAAAATATGGAATGAAAAAAATTTTCTGGTATAAGTCAATTGATGATATTCCTAGAAATACTTTTAGTTTGATAGTAGCTCAAGAATTTTTTGATGCTTTACCTATACATAAATTCAGGGTAAGAATTCATGTTTATTAGTAGAATATGATACAATAAAATAATTATTTATTTATTTAGAAAATTAATGATGAATGGCGTGAAATATTAATAGATATTGAAAATGATTCAAGTGGAAAATTCCGTTATGTATTAAGCAAGACATATACAGCTACATCAAATTTAATATCTACAGTATAATAATTAATCATATATATTTAATACATTTGTAATAGTATGTAATATGATTTTTAAATTAGATAGATTATTATAAATGTTCAAATTTTAAAAATGAAACTGAAATTGAAGTTGGATTGGATGGAGCTATTGTAATGCAGAAGCTAAGTGATAGAATAATAATGGATGGTGGTATATTTTTATGTATAGATTATGGGCAGGATAAGCCAATAACTGACTCTTTCAGGGTAAGTTCAGAAAAGCTTTTATTACTGTACTAATATTTTATAATGTTCTTATGCAGGCTTTTAGTGGACACCAACAAGTAAATCCATTACATAATCCAGGAACAGTAGACTTGACTGCAGATGTTGATTTCTGTAGATTAAAGAATGTGGCTGGAGCGGATATACTTTCTTTTGGACCAATTGTCCAAACCACATTTTTGAAGAACCTGATGATAGATTTAAGATACAAAGTAATTTGATCCAATAGTAAGAAATAACCAAGTTCAATGATTTAATATTATTATTTATTTTTTTTTTTAAAAAGAATTTATTAGCTTTAACAAAAAATGAAACAGAATCTACATCACTTACATTTGGATACAATCAATTAATGGAAATGGGTAAACAATTTAAGATCATGGGAATGATACCAGCAACAATGTCAAGAATATTGAATAAATTTCCAGTTTTTGGATTTAGTTGATAGAACCCAATAGAATGAAATTATTTCTTAATTGTAATGAACATAGCATTTTTATAAATATGAATATACATACTTCATTTTTGAAAATCTATTTATCTATATTTATAAATGGATTTATGTATGTTCTTTATGCATTTCTAAATAGCTGAGTTAAAAAGTGATAGACCCAACCCCAGGAGGTGTTTAAACATTTTCAGATTTAGAATGGAAATTTTTGTTTATAGAATCTTTATTAGTTTCAATAATAATAATAATTAGTGCATAAGAAATTGTTATCCCTGAACTTGTTATTATTTTTAATTATTTGTTTCTATGGCATATGTGTCTATAGCATTAATAGTTCTTATCGATTATTAAAATATCAATCCAAAGTTAATGAGCAACATTATCGAAGCTTCAATTTTAAATGGAAAGTATAAAGGCGAAGATGATTGCCACGCATCTCAATGATTCCAAAAGGTATGCTTTTCGAATTCATACGTTTGTAGTTTATGGTGCAACTCGCCTATGCAATAACCATCAATAATGCACAAGAACAATTGCTACAATTGTGTGGACAGAATTTGAAAAATCCATATCTACTCACATGGACAGCTGTGTATGCTCATGCATCGGCAAACTTTTTAATTTATTTGTGAATACATTAGAAGGAAGAACAAAATATATTGTGTATCTAAATGCACTTCAATAAATATCATTCAATTGAATACTTTATATGTATTTTCTCGATAAAACTAATAAAATTATATAATGATAAACTAAATTCAATATCGTTGTAACATTATTATATAGTATATTTTAACCATTATCTGTCTATAGGTTTAAAAATATGCAGCTAGCATAAACACAAGTAACAAATTTAATACACAATTTGAGACATATAAGAGATAGGATTTTAAACAGGCTACAAAGTGCACAGGTTCAGTTAGTTAAGCTATAAATACAGTAAAAACCGTTTATAATGACATTCAAGGGACTAGACAAAATTGGTCATAATAATCAATTGTTATTATAACCAAAATGACAAAAATTAAATTAAAAATTCTTTTATATACATGCAATGAACAAAATATTTTATTACAATCGACGGCGGCTACCGCCTCTCGCCGCTGACGATCTTAGCGCTTTGGCGGTGGCGGCGGCGCCGTGCCGGGCCGGACACAATATTAAATGGAAACTATTAATATTATAATAGCTCGTAAGTTACGTTGCAGCGACGCGCAGCCATTCTCGCGTTCGTACAATTTCTGTACAAAAAAATAATATTCAATATTGTTGTTATATATATATATATATATATATCTAAAATAAATAAATATAAATTAATTAATTATAATTAAAAATTAAATTATACGATTAAAATTTTAAATTTAAAAATAGTACAAAATATCAATTTAAATAACCAAATATTTTTTACTGTCGTAAAAATTACAAGTGAGGCGGTGCCTCACTTGCCTCACCCCCAAAACCGCCACTGATTACAATAATATTTTTAATGTGTTATTATATTATATATATATATATGTATATAAATCGTAAATTTAATTCATATAGAAAAAAAATACAATTTTTTAATATTTAATTATGTATTTTAAAATGAAATTTACTGTGTATTAAAAAAATTTGTAATCTAAGTTTGATTTTTTTTCATACAAAAATCATTCTCTATTTTTTTTTCTAGTTCTTCAAAATTAATTGTTGAACTTATGTTGTTTAAAACCATATTTGATAGTATTTTTACTGCCTAGAACCATGCATTTATAGAAAAATCTCCATCAGGAATCAGTTGTGTATCCAGGATTTTAACGGGGGTGTTTTAAAATTTAATAGACTTATGATAAGTGGGAGGCTCTGTCCCCTCCTTATATTACATAAATAAGTACCATGCAGTGGCGTAGCCAAGGGGGGCCTAAGGGGGCTATAGCCTCCCCCATGGGCCGTGTTTATATGTATAATGTATCTTGACTATTTAATAGAATCAATGCTCGTTTTAATCAAAGGCTTATTGATGTTATGCCACTTGAAGAACTTATTCCGGCCAATTTAAATATGTATGACGATAAAAATATTATAAAAGCTGCTAAAATATATGTCCATGATCTCCATGATGATACCTCATCTACAATCAGGGCTGACCTGTTCATATGGAGGCAACAATGGAGTCAAAATACTATTCCAAAACCGAATTCTGCTCTTGATTCACTCTCTCATCGCACCAATCTTCGACCTAACATTAAAATACTTTTACAATTATTCTCCACGTTACCAGTTACCTCTTTCACTCCGAAAAGAACGTTTTCAGCACTTAATCGCTTAAAATTTTTTTTAAGAAGCACCCTGTCGGAAAACAGACTGAATGGATTAGCTATGGCTAATATAAATAAAAAAGAGCAATTCCATGAAAGTGAAATAATAGCTGAATTTGCCAGAAATTCGCCTAAGAGAATGCAGCTGTCAGAGTGGAGCAAGTGACTGAACACTGAAACCAAAATTATTATTATTATTATAAATTATATATTAATAAATATTTTTAAAACTATACTAAAATGCTTGAATTACGTTTAGAAACTTGGTGGTGTATGATGGGGTGGTTAAGGGTGAATTCTCATATCCTCTCTCACCTTACTTATCCAAAAAAAGTGGTTACCCCCCCCCCCCTTATTTAAAAATCCTGGCTACGCCACTGGTACCATGTATTTATATAAATTATTATACTAATGAAAATAATTATATTAAGACGGTGTATTTAAAATCCACAAGTTGTATACAACGTTTATTCTAATTATACTGTAAGTAAATTTGCAATTTGATGAAATACCATAGAATATGGTTGGGGTGGGAGTGTTCTAACACCCATACCATCTCCCCTAAATACGCCCCTGTCAGGAGTATCAGCTTCTTCATTATTTTCGTCTTCCTCAGGTGCGTCGCTCAACGAAGAAATAAGTTCTTGATCACTAAGTTATTTTGGAGTAAGTAGATCATTATCAAAGTTAACATAATCATTAATATATGAAAAATATATTTCTTCTTGGACAAATTGTTGTATTGTATTTTTGAAACCCGCATGATGAAAATAGTTTTGAATTTTACTCTCTATTACTTTTTCCTGAGTTTTGAAAATCAGTAATATGCTATCTAATACATTAATATTGGTTTCAATTTTATTTTCTATATTATTGATAATTTTTAGCACCTAACTTTTTCGAAAATAAGTTCATACATTTTATTACACCTTGATCCATTGGTTGAAAAACAGACGTACAATTACTGGGTAAAAATACAAGTTTAATATTACGCAATACAACTTCAGAATGTACTGGATAAACTAAGAGTAAGATTTTTTCCTTTTTTTCTTTCCAACTCTAAATCCCAATTTAATAAAATTTTAGACCATAATTCTGCAGTCATCCAAGCTTTGGAGTTTGATTCATATGTTATCGGTAAACAATCGATAATTTTGATATTTTTCAAACACCGTGAATTACGGAATTTTCCAATTACAATCAGTTTCATTTTTTTTCCAGTCACACTTGCTGTAACTATGACGGTCAGACGTTCTTTAAACATTTTACCACCTCAACATCTTTCTTCTTTAAATGTAAATGTTTTGTTTGGAAGCATTTTGAAAGAGCCCAGTCTCATCTGCATTATAAATTAGATCATCTGTGTATCCTTCCCGTATTATTGGCCTTACTTTTTCGAACCAATTTTGTGTTATTTCAGTGTAGACTGAATTGGATTCTCCATTTATTATCGAAAACACAATATTATGTCTTGATCTAACTATTTGAATCCAACCAGTGGAACAATTAAAATTATGCTTACCAAGGCCTTCAGCTAATTCATTGGCTTTCTGTTGAAGAATTGGTCGATTTATTGAAAAGCATACATTTCTTTGATTTTTAAACCATCGTAGTAAAACCGTGTCTAAATCCTTATGCGTACAATTTCGAAGTTTTTTCACTGATAATTTTTCGTTTTGAAACATTTGTTCTATTTTGTCTCGAGATTTCCATATGTCAGAAATTGTAGAGTGACCTACGCCAAATTCATTAGTTACGTCGGAATTTTTTCACCCTTTTTTAAATGAAAAATTACATTTGCTTTTTCTTTCGTTTACTTATATTGCAATGATTGAACACATAACACAATTTACAATTTATCACACAACAATTAAGCACACGAACACTGACAATAAATTTACAAAACAACGATGAAATTAGCTTTATCGGTTGTTATAAAACCTTCCATAAAATTAATAAAATCATTATAGATAAAACCTTTTTCCAATAAAATCAAAAATAACCGTCATAACATCTGTATAGTTACTATACAGACGTCATTATAATCAATACAAATTAATACATACAATATAGGAGTTTTGGCGGGACTAGCAATCTAAGGTCATTATACCAGTATGTCATTACAACCAATGTCATTATAAACGGTTTCTACTGTATTGTTATATTCTGTAACCTATTATATTTATGTAGGTACCTATGTTGCGGCAGCCACTCAACAAATTTTAAAGGATGTCTATTTTTTAAATAGATTTAAATCATAAAAAATAACATTAGCAGAAAATTAAATCTAAATCAAATCTCAAAGAAAACTCCTAACCCAAATTTAGTTATACAATCTGTATCATAATCCTACCGCCACCTTAAAATCAAGTCATATACTTATCACCAATCTTTCATGCTCGTAAATTACTCTAAATAAAAATCAATCCACACATAATGAAAGTAAAGTTAAACAAAGTCCTTCAGAAAATATAACAATGCAATTATTCTCTTTTATAAACAAATTAAAGTCCTTTGTAAATCTTCTTCCTTACAACAGTTGTATATAAAATTTTGTTAAAAAATGACTAATATTGAAACCACCACATTAAAATTATACAAAAATAAACTAAATTTACATACTTCATACATAAAATATTTACATCATCTTTAAAATAGATACACACCTATACTATAGGTATCTTTGAATTTTTCTTTTTATCCATCCCAAGCAACTTAAACACTTTAATAAAAAACATCAATGATATATTAAGAAACCACTCACTATTATTCTTATGAATTGGAGGATTTCCGACTATTATTTCAAGGCCTTCCCCAACTCTCAATTGGACTGTACTCACCCATAGAATCGAAGAGTCACTATCATTATTTTTCCTTCTTAAGACTAAAAGTAACACAATTAAATCAGTGTACTGACTGAAGCAATTAAAGAAGAAACTATAAGTTTCTCGTCCCCTCAAATTGCATCAATAATACCTAGTAACAGTAGCGTAATTGTGGGAGGGGGCAAGTGCCCCCTCTGATAATTTTTTGAGAGAGAGATAAAGGTATAATTTTGCCCCCCCCCCCCCCCCCCAGATAATCCAACAGTACAAATAGCACCTTTTATTAATGAACTCTTAAGGATATTATTTAACAATATTGCTACCTATAATTTATGTTTATCTAAACCATAAAATGAGTTAAAAGACTCATGTAAAATCAAACAAATAGATATAGTATATAAAATACATACAATAAAAATATGTTTTAACTGGTGAGGGGAAGGGATGTCTGGGTTTTGGTAATAATAAATGTATTATATTGCCCCCCCCAGGTTTTTTCTCAGTTACGCCACTGCCTAGTAATACATTTCTCTAACAGATAATTCAACTCCTGAGAGTCAAATTTCAAGCTAGATCTGCAAGGCAAAGAACAAATTATCCTCATAACAAAATCATCATTTACAATCTTTCAAATTCACTTATAAAAAAATTATCAAGGTTTAAAACTGAACAGTTCAAATCGCATCTTAATTTTTTAAATCCAAATAATGACATTCTCTAAACCAGTGGTAGCCAAACTACGGCCCACGGGCCAACTCCGGCCCGCCATCATTTAATATCTGGCCCACCAAAGTCTTCTATATTACAGCACTTATTTGTATAACTGTAATATTTTGCATTTACGTAAAAAAAAATTTAGAATGCATTTTTTTATGGCCCGCGATAAAAAAAAAGTTGTTTTTTATGGCCCGAGGAAAAAAGTTTGGCCACCACTGCTCTAAACAATGATAAAAACATTGCGGAACCAAAGAGATACAATACTGCCACTTTTTCGACTAAATGGCTTAATTACTAAATATTTTTAATGACTAAATCTTAACCCCCATATTTAAAAAATGAACTTACTCAATATGACGATTACGTTCAAGAATTGTTTTCATCGTGGAGATGAAGTGGGTAGCAGTTCCAGCCTATTATGATCTTATTACCCTACCTGATATCGTAAAAACTATCAAAAAACTTCATACTTAAAAAGCCCAAGGTCACAACTTAATAACCAACAAGTTAAAGTCCTACCTAGATTATCATATTTTCTTCCAGTGTAGAAACTTTCTAAAAGCATTATAGTAGCCAAACCAAACAAATCAAAATGATGTATATCATCTTAAAGACCAGCGGTTACCAACTCATATGCCACAGTCCACTTGTAGGCCGCAAGCAGCGTGATACTGGGTCGTAGCCATATAATATTAATATTACTAACGTATAGGTACTTATATTTAAAATATTAAATATCAGCAAATGATTAAGTTTCGTTGATTTAAGTTTCATGTGATCAGACCCAAGAACCGTTTTTTAAAACCACACAGATAAAATATATGTATAATATACTTATTGTTTTAAACAACAGATTATAGATGTATTTTGATAATAATAAAAATAACTAATTATATTTAAAGAAATCATATACTCAAATGGGTTCATAATTGACAATAATGACCTATTAGGAGAAATAAGCCATTTATGATATATAATAAACATATTAAATAATCAAACTTTTTATATTTGTTTATGAAAAATAACATAATAATATTAAACATTTATTTTACAATTGAGATTACCAATTTTTCTTATGTTCATCCATAGATACACCACCAGGACCTCTAAGTACAATCATTAATAATCCTCCAATCACAGAAAGTGTCTAAACATAAAAATAATTCATAAAGCAAAGAAGTAATAATACATATTTTAAAAGTATAGGTTTACTTGGAAGAAGTCGTATTTGAGAAAATCACGAAGTGGTTTTGTTTCTGGTATTATCCACCATGCATTATAATAAAAATTTAAACTTGTCAAAAATAAAACTAACACTAAGGCACTGAGTTTAGTTTTATAACCAATGAACACTAATATCATCATTATGGTTCCTAAAAAGTCTTGAATGAGCTATAAAAAATAAATGTTAAATTATATTTATATTACATACAATAATATATTAAAAATATGAACCTGGAAAAATGATAATTCAAATTTTAATAATGTTATAAACATAAATGCAATCAAGCATCTTCCTGTCAGTTGCATATAATTTTTTGGCTTGTTTTCTCCTATAACATAATAATAATAATAATAATAATAATATTTATTTTCAATTTGATATACTACACACAAATTTTAAAATTTACCTAATGAAGGAATACCAGCAAGTAGAGGTTTTGACTCTACTTCACTATCAGCAAGTACCAATAATAATGCTCCAATCAATGCTAAATTTCTAAGTAGAAAATGCACATCCCATAAAATGCTGTATGCTACAGTCTAAATTTATAATAAAATTAATTGATTTGATGCTTATCATTAAATCATTGATATTTATTTATTTAAACTAATGAACTAAAATTAATATCAACATTTCAACATTAATGTTAAAATTATAATTAAGTATAATATGAAAACAATTTCAAATTAATTTTGTTTTATTAAAATGAGTTTAAAATATTTTAAATAAAACCAACTCACTTGTAAAATTACAATAAAAAATAATATTCCACAGGCTAATCGAACATTTTTTTGTAGTAAAATAAGTATACATCCACCCAGTTGTCCAACTAAATTAATGAGAACAAACACGGTAGCTAGGAACATTCCACATTTCCAAGACATGTCCATGTATTTGCTCTGCTCTGACCATTGAAAATACATACGTAAGCCATCTTCAATAAATGTTGATATTAAACATAATCGAGAAGCTGTAGGTAAGTATGCATTACAGTTTTTTATAACCTAATATAACATAATGCAATTAAATTATATATAAAAATAAAAATCAAATATATTCTAAAAAATAGTAATAATTAATTACCAGTTCTGAAATATCTTCTGCTTTATCAATAACATTTTTAGGTATGAATGCCATTGTAGTATACAAATATAATAAGCAAATTACACTCCAATTAATTAATGTTAAAATATTACATTGACATACGGGTCATAATTAATTATTAAAATAAACATTAAACTATGAAAGTAGGTCTACACTACTGACAAATTTTCAATTATTCATTAATATTTAATATTTGTTTTTGAAAAATGTACATGTTGATGATGTGATCGATCAGATAATAGTAACGTTTCAGATATTGACGTCATTAACTTTCTTATTAATGTCAGTTTTACTTATGGAAATTCCAAATACGTATAAATTATATTAAACAACAAAATAAATGTTTAATTATGTACTATTTATGATAAACATTAAATTATATTAATCAATAATTTTTAATTAAAAGATTTTTATAAATCATAATGTTGGAATTTTGGTTGCAACTTCTGGATTATCAACGAACAATATATTCTTATCTCTTATAAGATTGGACATACAGCAGCTGCTATATATAACAATTTCTGTGACATACAACCGTACTAATTATTTATTCATGACATTTTGGTGTTCTTCGACATTCTGTAATTCAGTTATTTCTAATTTATTTTAATTTTACTTTTTGGTATGTACTACTGGTTTTGAAAATAAAATCATTATTGATCATAATTGTTAAGTTAATACATACCTTTTAAATTATACAATAAAATCATACTCTTCACTTAAATAAATATTAAATTTGCTTCAGCTGTAGCATTTATAAGTTCTGAGATTTGGAGTTGAGTAAGTTATTCATTGGTTGTACAGATAAGTTTTTTTGCTATAAAAAGTATAACTACTAACATTATTTCACTATATGATTTTTAGTCTACAAATATTTAGTTTCATTCACAATTAAATCATAATGCATTTATTTTAAAAATATTCTTCAAATATTCATGGAGATTTTAATATTAATTTACTGTAGCAAATTATTACTTTAACAATTCTAAAGTTGAACTAAATAGGACATCTAAAATATTTAATTTTTACCATTTATCAATGTAGAAATTTAAAAACATTTCTTTTGCGTTAATTTAAGTCATTAAAATAAGAGATTGTATCTATCTTATATCCTACTAGAATATAAGATAGGTACAATCTCTTATTAATAATATATCTAAGCACTAGTAGAATCCTAGTGCCTAGATATATTATTAAATTACCTTATCATTAATGCAGTATAATGCTTTATCATAATTAACTTTTGAGACAATTTCTGTTGTTTTACTTTTACTTGGAAAATGTTGACTTTAAGTGGATATTATCTAACAAGATAATATTTATTTTATATATGGCTACAGGTTAGGTTAAATAAAACTTTTTTTTTTTTTGCTTACTTACAATTGACTTTTATGATTATGCATGTTGATACTTGATTTTAGGTATTCAAAGACCAATTTTTTTTTATACCAAATTAGTTAATAAAAATCTTATTTAAATGGTATAATATATATAATTTTTTCCTAATATTTTCAACAATTCAATTTCTGCTATTTATCCTACTTTAATAAAAATTAAAGACTTTAGTATAAATATTAAACATATAATGTTATGTAAATAATTTTATTCCAAAATAATGTTTTCAATGTATTAATATACAATTGTATACTAACTATCAAGTAACTTATATTTTTTTATTCATTAGGTTAAGTATTCACAAGTAATTTAAAATGATAGAAATTACTTGTAATGATAGATTAGGAAAAAAAGTAAGAGTTAAATGCAATCCAGAAGATACAATTGGCGACTTAAAGAAATTGATTGCTGCTCAAACAGGAACAAAATGGGAAAAGATCATTCTGAAGAAATGGTACACGATTTTCAAAGATCATATTAGATTACAAGACTGTATCCTTTTTTATAAATGAATTAATATAATTGATCTATTCATTATATATATTTAACTATTTCCCTTAAAAATATTGAAAATAATTTCAAGTTAATAAGTGGAATTAATAACTTATTTTGCATTTTGTAAGTATAGATATTACTAGGATATTTACAACAGTTGCCTTAGATTTAATTTAAATTACTGTAACTTTATAAATTATGTGATTTTTTCTTTCCCAATAACTTTCTTGGTATAATACTCAAAAATTATGAGTTTGCAGCCACCAAATGTAAGAAAATCCATTTGTTATTAAAACAATAATTTAAAGTATTATCTAATAAAATTATTCAAACCAATCTCCCATATCATGAAGAAACATTAAATAACTTATTATAAATTTAATATCTATATATAATTATAATAATTATATAAATTAAAACACACAGATTTAGTTTATAGTAATTGATAAGTTATTTTATTTTCTTCTATGGTAAATAAAAAAAAAAAAAAAAAAACAATTCAGAAAATGAAAATATCTTATACTTTTGATGATGATAATCGTTTTTTGTTATTTATTTGTTTTAAGTATTATAGATAAGTTATATTATGGGGAGTATATGATGTATAATATATTATATCCTATACCAATTGTATATCTTATATTATTATTGAAAAATTAGATGAAATATGCTGAGTTAAGGGGATTCAACATCGACGTTTAAAAGAAAAAAACGCTCCAGAGATGGCGTTGTTTACTGTTCGACAGTCCCCACTCTTAAAACAAAATCGCTGGTACTATCGCGGTCGGCAAACAGTTCCTAATAATTTCTGGAGCGTCACGTCATTCTATAATCGGCAACCGTGTTGTCGTTTATATTACTTTTACATTACACGTATATTCTACACATGCATGACTGTACTAGTTTGTATACTTATACTTATACTTATAATACTGCATATTTACATTTTCTAATAGTGTTACACATATCACATTTAAAAACAAAAGTGGATTTAAAACCATATTTAATTTCTTTAATAATTCGCATATCTTTAAAACTGCAGTCAAAAGGTTTATGACTATCAATCAATTTAATTGCATTAAATAAATGCGAAATATTCACAATTCTTCTTCCGAGTATATCTGCATCTGTATTTAAATTTTCTTTTAAAGGAGAGGTTGAAATATTTAAATCTGAAGGTTGAGATATATCGTCAAGTGGTAAAGCTAATATTTCATCTTCTTTAGAATCCAAACAAGTAACTTTTCCGTGCATATGTGGTTGAAAGGGAATACTTCCATATCAAAAAAAAAAAAAAATATGTATATTATTATTAATATAATAAGAAATTATTCACCACAAATATAATAAATGTATTCAAAATATTTCCAATTATCGTATGTATACAATATAATAATATACTTTAAAAGTTTCAAGTACCCACGGGCCACAAATAATATTTTTAAATTACAACAAAATGGTACTTTCGGGTTATATCGACAACTGAAATATTTTCTACATTACTTGGTATAGACTTCCGGGTTATCTCGATTAACACAATTTTTAAATAAAAAAGTATAATGTTATATATTATAACATGGGCGGATAGGCTTACCGGGAAACCGGGCATTTCCCGGTGGGCCCTCCTTCATATTTTTGTAATGGGGCCCTTTATTATGCAATTACTTACGTTAGAAATTTGAATTTTAAAATAAAAAAATTATAATCATATATATATCTATTACTATTTACAAAAGATTTCTTATTGGCACGCAGCCGCCGCATTTTACTCGTACATTTTCTAAATTAAATTTTGTAAAAAATTATTTAAGAAATACAATAGGTCAGAATGTATAAGAGAGTATATTGTTAATAAATGTAGAGAAAAATATTTTCAAAAAAATTGATTCTGAACACATCATTAATAAATTAGGAGCTAGGAGCCCAGTATTTGGTAGAATGTTATTATTTTAAAATTAAAAACTAAATAAATGATTTTTAAAATCTGTTTTGTTATACATTGTTGGGTTATGTGTTATGCTTTGTTTTGACGCGGTACTTAATAAAATTCATATAATAATGTACTTGAGAGCGACTTTTTTTTTTGTGGGGGCCCCTTTTTAAAATTTCCCGGTAGGCCAAAATTGGCCTATCCGCCCATGTATTATAATAACTGCAAACGAATTGCGTGCACAATTTATTTGTAACAGAGCGGAGTTGGTTCGAGTATTTTTCGGCACAGGTTTGAATTGCGTGCGTAAAAGTTAGAGAATCAGAAATAGAAAAATTTTTAAAATTGTTTTTTGGACTATTATTTCCATTCGAAACTCAATAATATGTAATACGAATAGGTACCTATAATTAATTTTTATTTTGTACCACAAAATATATATCTATTATCTATTATTTATTATTATTTTATATAATATAATAACATGTGTATTGTGAAATAAAGTAAATTTTCACTGAATTTGTAGTGCATTTTTTGATCAATTCTTTGAAATCTAAACGAACTAATTTGGTTATTCACGCAATTCGACCTAGATAATGATTTCCGCTAACCAAAAATACCAACAAAATCAATATTTAAAATTAAAAAAAAAAAAAAAAAATACGTAATTGTAAAATAAAAATATACTTACTTTTCATTTTCACTAATCGCAGTAGTATCGACAGAAAAAGAATCGTTATTCTATAAATTATATATGAATTCAAAAATTAATTTAAACTGAAATAATATCCTTTAATTTTGTCTTTCTTACTTTGTCTGTAGTTTTTATCAACGCAGATATATTTCCCGGGTGCTTTTTACGTCTAGATAAAAGCACCTTTGTTTTTTTACCTTTCCTCCAATTTTTTAAATTATCCATTATAAATTATAATTCGAAAATAAAATTTCACCATGCAGTTGAGGAATGAAATTTCAAGTTCATACCTCGATGAGTAATGACAGAAATACTAGTTATATTATTATATTATTAGTTATAGTATTTGTACTATACAATTACAATAGGTATTATAGCCATAGCCGGTTTCCATACAGCCGTAGAAGATAATATTGGTATTATTATTATTATGATTCTAAAAATATTATCTTACGATACCGCAGGCGCCACACTAGTCTTAGTTGTGAAGTAGTGTGAGAGTGGTGGGGAGTAGCGCGAAATGTGACGCACGTACAGTAGTTTCAATCCGCAACGTCATTAAAACGGTGTTTTTCATAAATTAATTATTGTTTCCGGTCTCAAAAGGCTCATAAGCAGTATACAACTGTGGGATTTTGAATAATCGAATTTAAAATCTGTAAAAAGATTTAAATTTGCCGGTCTGTCTACTGGGGAATGATCGAACAGTTTTTTTAAATGATTAAAAATTTATTTATTATCAACGTTTAAAATTACAGATTTGTAATATTTAATTACTAGGCCAGTAATGAATTTAAAAAAAATCGCCTCGATCGATCTCTAGAAGACAAATTGACAATTTCAAAACTTTTTTTAGAGTCAAAATCCGACCTTCCTAACTTCTACAGTTTTATACCGCGTTAGGGTTGATATTTATATCAATGTTGAATCCCCTTAAGCCAGGTTTTTACAATGTGTAGTATTTTTCATTTGCTCTATTATTTATTGTGTGAAAAGTGAAAAGTAAGAGTATAAGTGATTATTATTAGTGAATAGAAACATGTTTTATTACTAAGGCCGGGTTTACATGGTGCTTAGTATTTGTCATTAGTACTCGTCACTCGCACTTATACCACACATGTTAACAGTTATAAATAATGAAATTAGTAAAATTAAAAAATTAAATCCATGAACTAAGATGTATCTTATAACAAACGTGTAGGTGTGGTCCCAGTTGATATATATTACTGAATTATGTGTCATGAATTATTATTGTTCTTAATTATATTTATATTATATTCTAATAATTAGTAAATACGAAGTAACATTTAATGCATTTTTTCAATTTTTTTATTTTTTAAAATATTAACGCTAAAATAACTCATTGTATGATTTAATTTAAAAATTGTCATTAATTATGTTGATTTAAAGTTTATCCTTAATAATTATTTTTTTAGATGAAATTCATGATGGCATGAACATTGAACTTTATTATCAATGAATAAAATAGATAATATGGACTTTATACATTTTTTACTTTAATTTAAATAATAAAGAGTACACTTAAAATACCTGTTAAAGATTTATTCATTCAAAATTACAAACATATTTTCTATGTAAAATGATGGATCAACATTTATAAAAATATATTGTGTCAAATTAGTTTTAATGTAGTCTAGATGCGTTTACATTATTTGTATGTAATGGTACTAATCCTTCTGCTAGTTCGAATTGAGTACAATTTTCACTATTTAATAAATCCCTTATATGTTGTACAATCAAATCTATGGCCACTGAAAAAATAAAAATTAATGTATATATATATATATTACACAATTTTAATCAAATACTAAGTCTAAACATAGAAATAAATATTTTTTTAATTTTTATTAATAAGTTAATACATTCAGCATAATTTAATGTAACTTAAAAGTTGTATCATAATATGTATATTTTTTTTACATTACCAGTAAAATTTGTATTTGCATGTTAATTTAAATCATTTGACACATATTTAAATTAAGATTCTTGAAAATTATTTAAACTCTATTTCTGAATATTTATATGAATTTAGTGAATACTTTTGAAATGTTAGAATATATTTTATTTTTTTAAAATATATTACTTACCAAAATTTTCTGCTCCTCTTGGTATGATAATATCAGCAAATTTTTTAGTCTGTACATTTTCAATTATTATTTAAATAAAAACCTTTAATATACTAACTTATTAAAAATATATATTTACCGGTAAACAAAATTCTTCGAAAGCTGGTTTTACAAAATTCATGTATTGGTTTAAAACTTGTTCTAAATCTCTACCTCTTTCATTTATATCTCTAGGAACTAAAAAATTAATATTATTTCAATTACAAGCAAATAAACAGTGATGTTTACCTCTTCTAGCTAATCTAGTATCTGAATCGGTGTCAACGAATAATTTCATATGAAAGAGATCTCGTATTGCAGGAAAATAAAATGCTAATATGCCTTCAACTATCACTACATCTGCTGGATATATGACAATGTTGTCATTCTTGCTCCTAAAATTTTAAATTTAAAAAACAGTTAAATATCTTGCCATATGATACATTTATAAAATATACCTGTAAATACAAATTAAATTAAATTATTTACTCATCGAATTATTAAGAGTAATACATCAACAAAAATATTTTCTAAGTATATATTTATTAAACGATAATATTAACCAATCATGTGTATAAAACAATAGTAGCATTTTATAACAATAATTAATTTAGAAAATAAAATTAACACTACTTATTATTTAAGTAAAAAAGATAGTTGTCTCACTTCTTAATAAATTCACTTTAAAATTTGATTTACCTACCTTGAATTGGTTTTATAGTTGTAAACTGGAATACTACATGTCTTCCCTGCTTGAATATCGGTTAAAGTTTGATACATGAAAACTTCATCAAATGCATCTGAAAAAAATAATGTTTTTAATACAATAAATTGTTAATATTTATAATATTATTCTTGTTTAAATAATATTCTTTAGTGAAATAAAGAAATACCAGGATGATCAAAATTAAATTGTCCTTTTGAGGCTTTGATTTTTTCAGCGGCATTTAATTCTCTATAAAAGCTATCTTGACTAATTGATACCACCTGTCTTCTTGCTTCATCTAAATTAGTTTGTCCTAATTTCTCAATAATATTCTTGCAAACGGTAGACTGTAAAATAAAAGTATATTACAATAAGAACAAATAGCTTTATAATACAGATATATTACAAAGTACCTTTCCACATGCAGTACCTCCAGCCACCCCAATCAAAAACGGCGACTTGGCTTCTGTATTGGTTAAACAGGAACTATTCATTTCTTCAGTTTAATATTATCATAGGATTTGATTAATATTTTTTTCATCAAGTAGATTATAATAATAAAGAAAATATTGGATTTTGTCAAGTACTAATCACATATTAGATTGTTATCACCAAAAAATATATACGATAAGTACATTATGCATTTAATTGTTATCAAATAGTAGTGATAAGAAGTTACTAGAAAGTTGAAAATATAACCACATATTAAATTTATATTTTATATAATCTGTGCTACAACATAGAACGACTTTATAAGGTACATATATGAGTTGTACCGTTTGAACCCACAGATTTTTGTAATTGTTACGTGCCAACCGTTTGATCCGTTAATTCAGTAACAACGTCTAGGTCAACGCTTGATTGGAAGTGTAGTTAAGAATAATTAAGACTTTTAAAATAATTAAATTTATTCAACTCATAAAATTATCTTAACTACAATTTTGTAAATATTCTAGTGATAGAAATTATCTAAGTCCTAACAATTGTAACTTATAAAATGATTGAAATATTGAATATAAGTCCAGACCATAACATACACTGACGTGAAGGTGCTCAGTGAAGCATAGACAAGACTCGTCTGATTTGCCCTTGTTTTCGCGTCCCTTTTATATGTGATATGGTATGTGAGTGTGTAAAATCCCAAGTGTGTGTGTGTAAATGAAATAAGATAATAAAATATGATAAATGTGATGAGTCGTTATTGATTTGGTGTGTGCACTTTAAAATATGATAATTCTCTATTGATTCTGTATGCATGTACTATCTCTTGACCGGCCCATACTTATTACAAGATCCAGGATGTGGTCAACCACCCACGTATATGTGACTCCGATATTCATATTCGTATTTAAACAGATAACCATATGAACAATTTAACTTATTTACACGCCCAGTTTCGATGTTCATGAGAACCTCTTTAATGTGTGTTTTATATTATGTGACTACGCAGTACGCGACATAATACACTAGTTTTTTTTTTTTTTTATTTAAAATATAATTACAATCTATACAACAATTTAGTACAATAAGTAATTTAGATACAGTATTTACATATCGAGAATAACAGATGGGGGATGGCACTCAGTAGTGTCACTCGACAGATTAAATTAGAAGGTCTCTGGGGGTTATCAGGGATTGTTAGAGAAGATATGCGTTTTATTAATGGATTGTAGTGTTGGATTAATTTGGAATGAAAGGAGACGTAGTGAGACTTTGTTAATTGAGAGAGCGATGGAATATTTAGATCTTTGTGGAGATTATTATTTGTGATAAACCATGGAGCAGATACAATTTGCCTCAGACAGATAGGCTGGAATGCCTGGATTGTTCTCATGTTGGAGGGTTTGGCAGAGCCCCAAATCTGGATGCCATAGGACCAAACAGGTCTGATGATAGTTTTGTATATTAGTAATATATTTTTTAATGATGTCTTGGATCTAAGAAGTGGGCGGAGTAAATGGAGTCTGGAGTTGATTGTTTTTCTTTTTATTTTAAGGTGTTGGGCCCATGTGAGGCGCCTGTCAAAGATCAAACCTAGGTATCTTATTGTCGGGGTGATGGGGATTTGGTTATTATTAAACGATACAGAGGGGCAGTCGCCTGGTCTAATAGAGAAAGTGATAAAGGATGATTTAGCTTCATTAATTTTGATCTTCCAGCGGTTTGACCATAGTTGAATCGAGTTGAAACGATTTTGTAGCCGGAGAGATACTACCTGGGGGTCATGGTTTGAAGCCAGGATTATCGTATCGTCAGCATATGTACCCAGTGATGTATGAGGAGAGGTCGGAGTGTCGTGGGCGAATATAGATTATAAAAAGGGAGCTATGTCACTTCCTTGAGGGACTCTAGCTAGTATTTGGAAGTTTGATGAGTAGCTGTTGTTAACGCGAACACAGAAGGTGCGATTTTCGAGATATAATTTTAGGAGAAGGTAGTAGGGGGCAAGGAGGAATTTTTTGAGTTTGAAGAGAAGTCCTTCATGCCACACCTTGTCGAAGGCCTGAGCCACGTCAAGAAGTACAGCCGCACAGTAAAGTTTTGATTCCATGCTGGTAGAGATTAAGTCGACAGTGCGGTGGAGTTGGTGGATGGTGGAGTGCTTGGACCTGAATCCAAATTGGTGGTTTGGGATGATGTTGAATTTGTCCGATAGTGGAAGTAGCCTTTTGAGGAGTATTTTTTCAAAAATATTTGCGAATGTAGGGAGGAGAGAGATTGGTCTATAGGAAGACGGGATATCAGGAGGTTTGTTCGGTTTTGGAATTAGGATTATGTTTGAATGTTTCCAGGCTGTAGGAAAGTAGGATAAACGAAACATAGAGTTGAAAATTAGTGCTAAAAGAATGATAGATTTTTTCAGGGAGGTGTTTGACAATTAAGTTGCTTATTAGGTCGTGCCTAGGGGCTTTTTTTGGTTGGGAGTTTGCGGATGATGTATTGAATTTCACCCGGGCTAGTATGTTTAGCAGGGAGGGCCATGGGGAGAGGGAATTTAAGAGATCTTGTAATATTTAAAGTATGAATTTTATTTGGGATGATGTTATGTGGTTTGAAAACGTTGGCTAAGTGTTCAGCGAAAATGCTGGTTTTATCGGAGTCAGAGGAGGCCCACGAATTGTTTGGCATACGGAGTGGGGGGGGAGGTGGTAGTTTGTGATGGATTAATTTTTTTGTGGCCTTCCACAAAGATAAGTCTTTATTTGAGAGGTTTTGGATGTAGTTTTGATAATTTTCGTTTTTTGAGTTTAAGAATAGCTTTGTTTAGTTTATTTTTCAGATAGTTAAAAGTTGCTTTGTCCGATGGGTATTTAGATCTATGCCATTGGGTTCTGGCTCTGCGTTTATCGGCGAGTAAGAGCACGATATGGGCAGGAATATTAGTATTATTCCGGGGTGGAGGATGGTTACTCGAAGCAGCGGAGGCAGAATTTTGAATAGTGGAAGTTAAGGAAAGGATAGCGCTATCGATTTCAGAGGTAGTTTTTAGGGAGGGTTTAAGGTTTATGTTGACGGTTACTAATTTTTTGAATTTAGGCCAGTTTATTCTGCCAGAAGTAAGGGAAGGTTTAATTTGTTTAGTAGCCCAGGCACCCACCTCAAGATAAATTGGGGTGTGATCAGAGGAGGATACACTAGTTATAGATAAGGAAATCTTGTAATTTATCCAGTCTTGTATAAACACCATTTAGAAACTTTTTAGGATAAATATCTTGATCAAATAACAACATCTATGCACAGATTTATTTACAAACGGTTTTTATTTTTTTCATATTTTGACTCATCGTAGTCTTATAAGCTTTTTAAAAACATATAATATCATGCATATTTGAGCTTTGATAACTCCTTTCCTAATTATTTTAATAAAAAAAATAAAAACACTACGTCACAGAAATAGTTGTCTTCTATATTGTGTAAAAATTTTGAATCCCTAGGGTGTTTATAGCTCTGATAAAACGTGTTCGCGTGAACCTTGTTTTTGGTCTCAATATTTACGTGTGTAGCGTCCTCTTAAAGTTTAGATTTTCTATTTGACTAAGATCTTGTATGTGATTATCTTAACTTTCTTTAGATTTAAAAAGTTGTAAGGCAAAAAGTATTCAGGTTGACAAAATTTATAAATGTGATAATTTCTTTCTTTGTTTTTATATAACAAAGGGGGTGTGGGGGGCTTAGCCCTCACGGCTCATTTTTTAATACATTTTCATTAAAGGATCCTGAAAAAGCCTATGCTCACTTACACTAATAGTCAGGCTTTTCTTTAATTGCATATTTTTGATATTTATTGATTTAAACTGCATATTTTAAAATAATTATTGATAATTTACTCGTAAATCAAAAATATTAATGTAAAATTTTCATTTTTGACACGTTATAAAAATGTTATTTAGAAAATTAAAGGTGCTGATACATTATTCATTCTAAATCAATTTTATCTATATGAATTTGTCTGCAATAATAACGATAGCGATACTCAATAGCGTTATTTCACTTATTTTATTCAGGGAACTCATTTTATTTTTAGCTCTGAAGACAAGTTTATTTTTTATTTATCTGTCTTTCAAAGTATTATTTTGTTTGACAGTATCGTTTTCTTGTTAATGCTTTACTGCGTATTTTGTCGTGTTTGTCTTCGTGTTCGTATTTGTTTTCGTGGCTGATGTCTGTTAATTATTAGTGCTCGTATTCGTGGTATAATTATCTTAAATTAATAAATAAATAAATATACCGAAAGAAAAACAATCACAAATTAGTCGCTTGAGAGGTTTCATTTCGAAATTTGGTAGTAGTAATAGGTATGTGCAAGTAGGTATGTTTTTTTTAAAATTAAATTTGTTTTAGTACGTCTTTTTTAATTTATAATGAATGCATATTTAAGCGCATATTTTTATATTTTCTGACGCATATTTTTAAGATCTTAAGCACATAAAGTCCCGAGCCCTGCTCATAACGTTATAAAAAACGTTGTGGTGCCCGTTTTGATATAAAGCCTATATTCAGTTATTCTTAATAAAATGTAAATGAAAGTACTTTATTTTAAATAATTTAATAAATAGGTCCAAAATAAAGTAATTAAAACATTTTAATTTTTTTTTGCATATTATACCGTTTATAACAAACTTTTTTAGAACTATAAGTAATAAGCCTAGCTAATGGAAAGAAGAATTTCTTATTTATCAAAATACGATTATATATATCAAAATCATGAATATAAAATATCTTTATCCATGATTATAATTCAGTTTCTGCAGTGTTGGGTTAAGGTATATGATCAAATTCCTTATAATAAAATGATAAGTAATGTTATTATATTGAAGCATCTAGGTTTATTTTTATTTTTGGAGGGTCGTCCACTCAAAACAAGTCATTTACGGGTAGCCTTAGCATGAAGGTTGGGAAACACTGCTGTATATTATAATATATATGCTATATAGCAGTGGTTCTCAATCTTTTTAGGACCGCGACCCAAATTTTCTTCCAAAAATCTATTGCGATCCCAGTCTTACATTTACAGAATCAATAAAAATAATTCCAAAAAACAAATTTTTTTCTCTTTTATTACTTATTTACTACTTTATAATAATAATAATAAAAATAATAAAGTTTTTTTTATTATTATTATTAATATTTAAATATTTAAATATTTTCTATTAGTTCTATAGTCTATAATTTATACAATTTTTAAAAAAACTTTTTTTTACAATCTGTAAATTTTTACAAAATTTCTTACAATCTGTATAATTAATAAAACTTCTCGCGACCCCCCAAATATTGACTCACGACCTTCTAGGGGGTCGCGACCCACAGTTTGAGAAACGCTGCTATATTGGAATGCGTCATTCACCAGTTGACGATCATCCCACTCCCATGTCCTGTTTTATACGTAACGGTCGCACCAGTGTACTCCATTTTACGTTTGTCTTTCAACCTTCGAACTTACACCAAATTAACTGCTGTTACCGAAGCCCATGTAGCGAGCGACTGCCGTCAACTATATCATACATTAATAGTATTGTATTGTCAGGTTATTGTGGCAACCGATTTTACTTGGGAGAATGATTGTCCTAGCTGTGCGCGCGATTGATTACTTCTCTACGTTTTTCTAACACTTCTATTTTTTATACAGCTATATTATACGTTTAATCTATTACTATTTATCACCCCTTTTAGAAATACTTAATTTTAATTACGTTCTTTATATAATTATTATTGGCCGTTTTTTAGTGATAAACGTCATTAAACTATTATAATATTTTATTATTTTAAGATAAAATTGGTTTGAAATTACATTGGAATTATAATGTAAAAAAATACGGCATGTTTTTCGATAGCTGTTGAGTGTCTTCTCAATCATTTTCTTTGTCGAATGAAAAAAAAGATGGGGCTTTTAAATTTTATCGGAGTTGTCATGGTGTTAAAATTCCTCGTATATTTCGTGTTGTTTTTTACTGGTGACTGTGACTTGGTATTGTGGTGGTACAACAAGTTCAATAAGAATCTCGGTACCTACCTTTTTCATTTAAATAATTATTATTATGTCTATTATAAAGTTTATTTTACCTGATATAAATACTTGTTTTTAAAATTAATAAAAACTCAATTTAAAACCCATATTTTAATTAAAATGTTGTTACTATATATTGAATTAAAATTGATTAATGTCCATTGTTTGATATTTTTAAACTTTTGTCTATAACAAATAACATATTTTGTAATTGTCATGCATATTTTGTTTAAAATTGTTTGAATTTTACTACAGATACATTTAAAGGAAAAGTTGTTTGGATTACTGGTGCTTCCAAAGGGATTGGTGAACAAATTGCATTAAATCTTTCTAAACATGGTACTAAACTTGTTTTATCAGCCAGAAGTAAGGATAAATTATATCAAGTTAAAAATCGCTGTATTGGTAAATGATTAAAATACCTATCTAAACTATTATATACAATTTTACTATAGTTTTGTGTATTTGTAGAAATAAGCGAAGGCATGTTAACTGCTAATGATGTACTGGTTTTACCAATGGATGTCACACATTTATCAAAACATATTTCTTTGTTTGACAACGTCATCAACTATTTTGGCAAAGTATAATTGATTTATGAAAACTAAAAATATATACTGATTTAATTTATATTAAGTTATAGAGTAGTATTATAGTTTTTGTAATTTTAATACTTTTTATTATTAAAAAATTATATTTTTTAGCTATAAATTATTAATAAGCACAGAAAACTTAATTAATAGGTTTTATACTATGCATTTTAATAGTCTTTCTCTAATGATGAATAAATTTTTAACTCCCATGCAATATTTTATAGATAAATGAATCATACAACTTTTAATTAATTATATTAATTAGAAGAAGAATTAGAATAACAATTAAAATGCTATGTCTAAGCTTTATTTAACATTGTTTTATACTTTTCATGTATCATGGTAAAATTGTATACAATTTAATGATGTTCTTTTATTATTTTTAATATTTTAATGGTATATAGAATAGTAAATTTTTACTTAATATATATTTTTGATTTTTTACGAAAAAATAAAATAGCTAAAATCCAAAGAATCTTTAACAACTAATCTAAAACTTATTCAATAATATTTTAAAACATAAAAAAAAATAATACTTTTATAAATTTATAAATTAATAAACAAATAGATTATATGTAAATATCAAAAAAATAAATCAAATTGCAATTCAATATGAAAAATTATATTATTATTATACTATATACCATTAAAATATTAAAAATAATAAAAAAATATTATCAAATCTTATATAATTTTACTTATCTTTATATATAACTGAAGGTGAATTTTTAATTTTTAACTGCTCATGTTTTACATATATAATAATACTACAGGCTAAGCTTTAATTTATTTATTTATTTATTTATAAAAATAAACTATTTGTTCATTTATATATATTAATATTAATTTAAGAGTATTAACTATTTATTAATTTTTATTTTATTTTTAATATTTTATTATTTTATATATGTCTAGTTGGATATTCTCATAAATAATGCGGGTCGTTCGCAACGTGCTGTTTGGGAAGACATTGAAATTGGAGTTGACCGTGAAATTTTTGATTTAAATGTTTTTCCTATAGTAAATTTATCAAGAATTGCAGTAAACTATTTTAACAGTATTGGACATGGTCAAATAGTAACTACTTCTAGTATAGCAGGAATTATATCTGCACCAAATTCTGCTTCTTATAATGCTACTAAATATTCACTTCACGTAAGCAATTAGTTTTTTTTAATAGCCATTAAATAATTATAAATTACATATTTGTGTAGTTTGTATAATTGTACTGTTCTTATAATCATAATTTAAAATTATAATGTTCCTTATACAGCTTCTAATAATAATTGTTATGTTTTAAAAAGTAAATATATGATGAGTGATACACTTTTACATTAAGTTCTTAATGGAGAAAAAATTATACAATTGGTAAATTTAAAATTGAGTAATTTATTTAGTCATGCTTTTTTAGAATATTATTTCAATAATAGTTATTCATTTCAGACATTGACCTATTTCATAAATTTTATCTACAATAATTAAATTTACTAAAAAATGACTATGGTACATCTATTAATAAGGTTATTAATTTAATAGCCATTATATCATCTTTTTTTTCTATTATTGATAAAGTAATAACTATACATTAACTATGCATGATTCATATTGTCCCCTTTAATCCTAAATCAAAATTATCATTTGAAAAATTGATTTTTAATAAAATCAAGATTAATTTAAACGATTTTAAAATAAATTTGTAAAGAAAAAATAAATACTTCTGAGTATATATTATTCATTATTCTTTATTATGGAAATAAAATTCCAATTACAATTATTTTTTTACAATATGACAGTATTTTAATAATCTAAACCTAAATTATGAATGATAAATATAATGATGAACATTATAGTAAAAAAAAAAAAAAAAAAAAATTAAAGGAATATATTGACAATAAGTATACTTAACATATAATCAAAGATATTTTTACTTATTTATAATTTTTAGACTATGGTAAAATGTTTTATTTTTATTTTTAAATTATATAATTACTACTGGCCTTATTGAGAGAATTCTTGTGGATACCCAAGAGTTTTTTATTATGTTATGTTACTATTGGGCAGGAAAGTTCTGTTGTTTGCATAGTTTTTGTTTACCTTTTGATGGTAGTGATGATTCTAACGATAAAATATCTATCAGTAATTACCTGCCTATCCAACATTAATAGATAAAAATACATAAATGTATTAATTAAAATATAGATTATTATATACAACATTGTTATGTGGTTTTGAAACAAAAGATGTTTTTTCTAAAAAGATTCTTTTGTACATTTACATTATTAATCATCTATACAGAATTAAATATTTTTTTCCTCAATAGGGCTATTTTGGAACTTTATGTCAAGAAAAAGTGAACACTCAAATTCATGTTACTCTTTTGTGTCCGGGTCCAGTTTTTAGTAACTTTCTTGAAGATAGCTTTACCGCCCATTCTGGAGAAGTAAAAATATATATTTGTTATTTGTCTACCTATACATAGTAATACAAATAATTTATAGAAATATGGAATCACTCAATCATCGACAGATAACAGAATGAGTACTGAAAGATGTGCACATTTGTCATGTGTAGCAATTGCAAATAAATTAAGAGAATCATGGATGGCAAAATTTCCTATTATTCCCATTGTATATTTTTCATTATATTATCCTGTACTTTCATACAAGTAAGATTGCATTATATTTTAATTACTGAATTAATAAATGTTTGCAGTACATAAGTTTTAATTACACAAATTTAAAAATCGAGTAAAATCAATTTGTTGCTGAATACTTCAGTTATCATAATTTAACTTATAATTTTTTTCAATTTTATATTTCTTATTAAATTTTTTAAGTTTTTAAGCTAAGAACTATAATTGTTATTACTTTTCCTGCATCACAATAAAATATATTTCTAGATCTCTTAAGAATTTATTTTTTCTAATGAATACTAGATTTCATAAATACTCTTTTATTTTATAATGATGATATGACATTCCAATATTCTTAATAAAAAAAATTCAGTACATACTTTAAAATAATATACAGTAATCGATGATTTGAGAAGGCTATGTTCAAGAGTTCCACAAGTTTTATTTAATTTTAAAAATTTCAATAATGTTAATATGTTTCTGAAATGGTTGAGGAAACTACGCGTATACTAGTTTCCTCAACCATTTCAGAGTTAGCCAAATGAAGAAGAATCTTTTGAAATTATTTTTCTATCTTTGAAACCTGAGTTTTATCCAATTATCTTTAGAACATTTTTTTGAATCTAAAAATAAATACCTAGTTGTAAACTTTTCATGTAAATCAATATCACATATTGGTTCACAGGTGAAATTTGCAAGAAATACTCTTACAAGTATTAATTTTTAGATTCAAAATAATGTTTTAAAGATAATTAGATAAAACCTAGGTTTTAAAGATAGAAAAATAATTTCAAAACATTCTTCATTTAGTCACTCCAGAGAGTATGTGTATACTATTTTTTTCAACCATTTCAGAAATACATTGTATATTTTCACAATAACATATTTATTTAATAAATAGGAGCAATTTCCATAAAATTGTATCGTATTGGTTCTTAATTTTTTGTATTTCTCGAACACTAGTTTTTTTATATTTTATAGAAAATACGAGATACTCTAGAATAGGGGTGGCCAACAGATCAATTGCGACATAAGTTCAAGTCGATCATGACATGAACTAAGCTTAAACTTTTCACAAAAATATTTAAATATTTATTTTTTTTGTAAATTTTTAAATTTTTGTTCAACACACAAATATTAAAATTAATTAAGGCAATATATACTAATAATAATAGTAATAATGACTCTAAAAAACAAAACTATAAACTGAAATCAAATAGCTATGTAGGTATTTGTATATAATCTAATGGATATTCTATATTAAATAACTATTTATAGCGTTCATATAAATTGATAAAAAATATACTAAAATATCGGTTATGTAAAATTGTAAAATTAAAGTTATTATTTATTATTATTTTAAATAGAAGAATGGAAGTGTTACATGCAACATGCATGTATATAAAATAAATTTTTGCACAATGATAACTTTTTTTTTTGGTCGATCGTGAAAACCTAGAAAAACTCAGAAGTCAACCATAAGTCTTTGAAAGTTGGCCACTTCTGGTCCAGAAAATATTCTACAGTCTCGCTACTTTTTAATTTATTCAAATTTTCACAAATATCAACTAACTGATGATAATTAACTGTATAGGTATAAGAGGTATATATATATCGCTTATTTGTAATAAGTTCATATATACATATATAGTTGTATAGTTTTACCTAGCAATATGAGTAATTATCTGCACGAATTACCTACAGTGCTTGTATAGTATCGATAAAATTTTATCGTATTAATAACATTTTATCCTGGATAATTGAAACTACGAATAAAAATATGTGGATGACAAGGGATGACTGTAATTTTAATAAAGTAAAAAAAGTTAAAAAAAATATAAGTCACTATGAATGTATTGAAAACACATATTATTAATAACAATTTTATTTTTGTAAAAATTTAACTAATTATATGTATTGTGTTTTACAGATTGTATGAACTCTACGGCTACAAACTCGCTCAAAAGTTGCGGGACAGTTAAAATATTTGAATTTAAGATCTTAAGAGATAATGAAATAATATCAATGTATTTTATCTGAATTAATGTTAATAAATATTTATCATGAATAACTTATTATATATTCAATACAAATACATTTTTGTGTTAGAAATTATATTTTATTGTTATTTAAAATTTCCTTTCTAATGGCTTTAGCTTTTTTAATAATATTCTTAAATAAGTCACAATATAGACTAATAGCACTTGGTGTATCATCATTGCCTGGTATTGGATATGTGACAATATTAGGATTAGCATCTGTATCTACTATAGCAATAGTAGGTATTAACATTTTAGCAGCATCAGTAAGGACACCATGTTGTCCACTATTATTTTTGGATGTACTGCTTAGAGTATTTAATACAATGCAGAGATCAGGTAGTCTTGTTTCAGCTTTGAAAATCCTAGAAGAATTGGTAAACATACCATCACGCCAATATCTAGTGTGAGCAAACTCTCCACATTCTTTTGCACAATTTTCAACTGTTAAACAATTGAGAGGTGATTGACACAAAAATAAAATAACTCCACCTCTAAAAATAAAAACAAAATAATTGTTATAAAATGTATGAAATTTAGAAAATTAATATAATTTTCCAACTACCTATATGCTATATGAGCAGTTACGTTAAGAGCTTGCTGTAAAAGTTTTTTAGTTTGATTTAAATCAATAATGAGATGTCCTAATCTATTGCCATATAAATATTGTTTCATTCTTTCATCTAATGTTCCTTCTGTATGACCAAAATGTACACCAGCTTCAAATAAGCTTTTGATTTTAACCATATTTTTTACTTCAAAAGCATCTGGGTTGGATAACTTAAATCTGGTTTCTAAAATAAAATTACATTTCAATCATTATTTTTGTAACAAGGTGTACATTGCAAAATATTTTTAAAATAATGTACTTCATCTTCTCCTTTCACCTAACTATTTGGAGTCGACTACATTTGTCCTAAACCTCCACTTGTCTCGATTTTCTACATCCCCTAACACACACCAACAGCTCTCATCTCATTTTCAATCATATCCAACCGTCTCATTTTTGGTATTCCTCTTTCTCTTTTCTGTTCAATGTTCATTTTCATAACTACACTTACTGCTTCTGTTTTCTCTCGCCTCATAACATGCCCAAATCATCTCAGTATATTTTCTCCACTATAAACGCTACACCAATACTACCTCTCACATATTCATTCCTTATTTTATTTTCTCTTGTTACTCCACTCATTCATCTAAGCATTCTCATTTTCGTGACACTCATACTTTTTTTATTTTCCTGTTAATTACCCAATACTCTGAACCTTTTGCATAGCTGGTCTCACTACACTCCTGTAAAATTTACCTTTCAGCCTCATTGGAATTTTCTTATCATATAAAACGCCAGAAAAGTTCTCTCCATTTCATCCAACTGTACTTAATCCTATGTTTTACATCCATGCCAAAACCCCCGTCCTTATGTACAAATGATCATAAACATTTAAAGTTCTTGCTTTTACCTATCACATCACCGCTTATTATCATTGGTCTCCTTATCTCCTAACTTCTTGGTATCTTCTTCCAAAGTCATTCTATATATATTCAATTTTATTTCTACTAGTTCTCAAGCCCTTTCCTTCAAGGGCTAATTCATCCAACCTATTATTAACTTCTTTCTGATTCTCTCCTACCAAAATTATATCGTTAACAAACATACAACATGATACCTCACTCTGTATATCTTTTGTAACTTAATCCAATACCACAGAAAACAAGTAAGATGTTAGAGGCGAATCCTGATGCACACCAACTTTTACGTTGAAATCTTTAAATCCTCATTTATGCCCACTTTAACATTTCTCTTGATACTTTGTCATACATATTTTTTAAATATAAAAATAATTTTTTACTAATTGTTTAACACAAGACAATGGCTTCATTGACAATTTTACTAACATAAAATCTTATCTATATAAAATTTTAAATAATGTATACTATTTATTATTTGAGTGTGCTTTTCCTTGTCAAGCTCCCTTTCAACCAAATATAAGATAATTTTTTTTTAAATTATCTAAGTTTATAACCACACAATCAACTTAATATAATAAATTCCATCAGGACACCCTTTATGCCTAGTGTTCAGAGTCAAAAGGTCCAGTTGCTCGACTTCTAAATTTACACTGGTTATGAAATAAACTTACCTTCATGAGAAGATTGAACATCTTCAATTTGTAATTTTGGTAATGTTGACAAATATGATGGACATATTATACGTTGTATGTGACTAAAACTATTTTTATTAAATATTGGTCCTAGAATAAAAGATTTTGATTAAAAATATAATTTTTTTAGCATTTAATACATCACTAAATATTTAGATTTAGAAAAGTATTTTTGTGGACATTTTAAATCAATTTAATAACAACTGTTAAATTGTCATTTAAATAATTATTTTAAAAATTTTATTTGTTCAATACAAAGCACATTTTATGAATAATCTACGTTATGATTACAGACGATATTATAACTATTTTAATACTCACTACAATAATGTGTAGCCATAATGATTTTTATTTAATAGAGCTTGATTATAGTTGAAATTGAAGGAAATTAAAAATCAGTATTCTTTGAAAATTTGTAACTTAAAAAATAATTTTCACTGTTGATACACATTATCAAAGGGAGTAATGATATTATATTTCAACTTAATTTCTAGGTTATAACACCAAGTAACCACGGTTCAAATTTATGATTTAAAATATTTTCTATTATTTTATTATTTACAGATAATCATTAGATTGGTAATTAATTTAATAATTAGGTATGATTATTTGTGTTATTTGTTTTAATAAGAAATTCATATGGTATAGGCAATATAATTGTTGACCATGTAATAATTGTATTCACAAGGTAATAAAAATATATATTCATAACAGCATTCCAAACCGAGACTGATATCTTTATTTGACATCAGCCGCGATCAGTTATAATAGAATAGCATACCGAAACGTTGGTATTGGTTAATGGGCGGAATCTACCAAATGGCTAATAATCAAATTAAAATTTTTCTTTAACATTTTTTTTTTTTTTTTGATACTAACAATAAATATTTAATGTTGTGTATTTATTATTAAAATTTTTTATTTTTTTTTTTTTGTACATCTTAGTGAGTAATTTGTAACTATAGGAATTAGCTGTACTAAAATTTGTAATACTATTTTCACATTAAAGATATGTTAGGGTATAGTGTTTAAAGATTTTATATTCATTAAATTAATTTTGTGTAGCTCATTATGTTTTTATTAAAATTGTCAGGTGTGTTTAATAAATGTGATTAATAAAATCAGTTCATATGAACTACTTAAATTTCATCTGCATTTTACTATAGTACTTTATTGAGGTATATTACGTTGTATAATTAGTGAATATAATTAGTGAAATATCGTTCCGCGAATAATTATAAGTGAGTTGAGCATTTATTCAAGGCTGTATTTTTAGTATGTTCTATGTAGTGTAATATGAAAAATGGTTTCAATGTAGTAATGGGTTTTATTATTAATTTACAGCTATGTTAAGCAGTTGGACCAAACATTTACTTCATTGTGCCTTATTGGTGATTGTAATATCAGTGTTTGAAATCTGGTCAGGAGGTATTAAGCTATCTGCAGATGTTCAAAATACTTTTAATTTTAATCCGTGGGAACGCTATGGTTTAGTTTGGTGCTTTATGTTATATTTACTTCGATGTTTGACCTTTTTACCTTTACCGCAAGTACTACTGAATTTTGGTGGTCTTACACTTTATAATGCTTTTCAAGATAAAGTTGTACTAAAAGGGTCACCTTTATTGGCTCCATTTATATGCATACGTATTGTAACCAGAGGAGATTACCCTCAATTAGTGAAAGCAAATGTTGCTCGCAATATGGCTCGATGTTTAGAAGCTGGTAAAATTTGGAAATACATACTTACTTAATACAATTTTAATGTTTTTTTTTTTTTTTTTACTTTTTTTAGGATTAGAAAATTTTATAATTGAAGTAGTAACAGATAAATCTGTTGGACTTCCTGAACATAGGCGTATAAGAGAAGTTGTTGTACCAAAAACATATAAAACTAAGACTGGTGCCCTTTTTAAATCTAGAGCACTTCAATTTTGTTTAGAGGATAATATAAATATTTTGGCTGATTGTGATTGGATTGTACATTTAGACGAAGAAACTCTATTGACTGAAAATTCAATCAGAGGTGTATTAAATTTTGTATTGGATGGTAAACATCAGTTTGGTCAGGGTCTTATAACATATGCAAACGAAGAAGTTGTAAATTGGTTTACAACTTTAGCAGATAGTTTTAGAGTGGCTGATGATATGGGTAAACTACGCATTCAGCTTTCAATGTTCCACAAACCTCTTCTAAGTTGGAAGGGATCTTATGTTGTGACTCAAGTAAGTGTTAAAGTTCAAATTTTCCTATGAAAATTAAAAACATAAAATTACTATGAAACTGAATCAATTTTATTATTTATGTTTTTTTTTTTGATATAAGTTCTGTAAATTATAAATATAAGTACCAATACATTTTTTTTTAATTAAAGAAAAAATTATTATACACTAGTTTACATTATAACAAGTGTGTCATTTCAATATTTGCTAAGGCAGGGCATAATACTGACTTGTCCAATAAAAATAAAATGTTTAATACTATCAATCAAAAGCCCCTTGATAAGTCATCCAACTGTAACTGAATACTGTTTAATAATTTATATTAAGTAAACTATATCTGCTTTTGTTTACAGATTCTGATATACAAAATAAATTTAAATATTTCAATAAATTTAATTTTAAAGTTATTTAGTTATTTCAATACTAGAATATTTTAATGAAGTATGTAATGTTTATAGACAGTTTGATTTTCTCGAAATTCCTTTTTTTTTTTGCAAAAATTAAAGTAAATAAAGTTTAATTTATACTTTTAAGAAATTTGGTTCTCCTATATAAACTATTTTTAGAAATATTAATTAATCTACTTAACTGGTATTACTGAGAATTGTTTTTCAAAACATCAATACAATTTATTCATTTGTGAGCCTTACCCGACTATGGTGTCTTACTTGACATAGAAGTTAATATTTAAAAATAATGAATTTGTATGTTACAACTCTATTAATTAATTTATTAGTGTTAAATGATATATATTATACATTAATTATTTATATGATACATGATGATATTATATATGAATATTAATATACTTAATTACATTGAAATTTGTAGTCAAATTATAAATTATTATATATCTTGAATATAATTAATTTCTAGTTGGGTGCAGAACGTGATATATCATTTGATAATGGCTTAGATGGGTCCATAGCAGAAGATTGTTTTTTTGCCATGCGAGCTGCTAGAGAAGGTTATACATTCAATTTTATTGAAGGAGAAATGTGGGAGAAGTCACCATTTTCTTTGTGGGATTTCATACAACAACGTAAACGTTGGCTTCAAGGTATTTTATTAGTTGTTCATTCAGCAGCTATACCTTCTAAAACAAAAATTTGGTTAGCATTATCATGTTACTCTTGGGTAACGTTACCCCTGTCTACGTCTAATTTAGTGTTAGCAAGATATTATCCAATTCCATGCCCAGCAATAATGGATTTTGTCTGTGCATTTATAGCTGGAGTAAATATATATATGTACATATTTGGTGTAGTAAAATCATTTTCATTATATCGTTTTGGTGTTTTGAAATTTACATTATGTATAATAGGAGCACTTTGTACTATACCTTTTAATGTTATAATTGAAAATGTGGCTGTTATTTGGGGTCTCTTTGGCAATAAATACAAATTTTATGTTGTTCACAAGGAAATTAAACCACTTGTCACTGTATAAATAACTATAATGGCATTGTGTTTATTTAAAATGAAAGTATGATATATGGGAGGGAGAGACTATCTGCCATTGAAAAATAAAGCTGTTAGATAATCCATATATATATATATCAATGACAACCCTATGGCTTATTAATCTAACTTAATTTTTGAAATTCTGGATTTTTTTTTTTTTTTTTTGTGTATTATAAATGCTCAAATCTAATGAAAACAAACAGTCCAAATGTTTTGAATTTAGTATTGGTAATAATGTATCTGAATGAAGCTTAGTAATTGTTATTTGCTTAACAGGATTCTGGTTTTGAAAATCCTATAGTTGAAATTAATTTTTTGAGAATATTTGTCATCTTTTAAAGTAAACAATTATTTTAATTTAAAATTAAATAATAAGTATTTAATTTTACTTAAGCCTATGGATGCCATTAATTTTATTTACTGTAAAGGCCAAGATCTCTGATTGTACCTTGATAATGTTTGGCAAAACTAGTCATGACCTAGTTTTATATTAAGAATTTTAACCAGTTTAAGTTACGAGAATATTATTTATATATATTGTGTTAATTTTAAGAATTACAAATGCACATAATCTTGTAACCACTCAATTTGATTTTCATTAATTGTTATTATAATCATCTGATGCTTAACCACAAGATCACGTTTGGACACTAATCAATACTTTACTACTTTTATTTTTAATCAACAATATATTAACATTCTTTAAAGTATTGTTAAAAAAGACTTTGAGGAAATTACTACTACTTTTGAACCAAATTATTAAATGTAATGTATTTAGCATGTTATTCTAATTATATTAATATTAATAATACCTTATCTAAAATACATTATAGATTTCGACTAAACTATAGTAGTACAATTTTTTTTTTACCTTCTATTTATATTTTAAACGTGTATATGTAAATATATCTATAACAATAAGTAAAAAAGTTATGTAAGTTTTAATTTTAAAAATCATGATACGAATGATATTTTAAAATAAATGTATGAGATTTAAATAAGTGCAGATAGAGTAATAATAACTACTGTTTAATTTTTTTTTTTTTTCATATTTATCAATGGGTATTGAAGGTGTACTTTTATTGTTGTTATACTTAAATTTAGTAATAGTATTTTCACTACTTATATTTACAATTAAATAGGCAGCAATTAATTGTTCAAACTAATATGTTATTATTTACATGTTTATTATTTCAGTTATGTACCAACACCTGTAATTATACATTATTTAGTATTGTAAAATAAACTAAAAATTAATGTAGTTTTCATAAAAATACAAAGAGTGAGCTCTCTCCATATCATTTTTGTTTATGTTTCAAGTATAAATAGTAATAATTTTATTGAGTGAAAGCTTATATTTATGTATAAGTTTTCTTGTATGCATGATTACAACATGTCTAAAGTATTATTTGTAAATGTATATTCAAAATACTTATTTTTTCATTAATATACTAGTTGTATTAACTTAATGTTGTATTGGTTTCAATTTATATTTATTTTATAAACCTTAAAGTATTATTAATTCAAATTAATTAATCAGTCAATTTTATTTAAAGGTTTCAATGTTGAAATAAAGTTTCATCTTACTCTACTTATAAATTATTTTAGTTTTACATTAATTTCCATTATTAATTTTTATAATTATGTGTTTTATCCAAAGCATAATATAATACAATTAATTATCAATTCAAAAATATAGTTTAAGTATGAAAAGTTTTGGTAATTGACATATATTATTAATAATTTTATTCCTTGACGGTTCTAAAAGTATTAATCAAATTTGTATTGGATATATCTACATTTTTATTTTAATTCGTCAAAATTATTCATGTATGTTTTCTATGTTTAATAATCAGTTATTTTCTTATATCTATTAGTTGTTATTAGTATATTATCAAATAACAAAATTAAATATTTATTATAATTACATTTAAATATCTAACTATTTATGATTTTACCTACAAATTTAATTGTGTTAAGATTTCATCAAACCTATTTATAAACAAAATAATATGAATGTGAAATCATGGAATGTAGTAAATCCTCAGTAAATCCTCAGCATTAAACTGCTTAAAAGGGGTAATTTTTATATTATTCATGTATTGACATAAAAAAATCTCCAAAAAATATTAATTGTAATTCATTGTTTTTATTTTTTTTTATGGACATACATAAATGTAAGCCCTTACGATTACCTACCATTACATAGGGACTACATGAATAATATTAAGAGTTAGAATAACTCTTATTATAATTATTATATGTAAGCACTAGTTTCATGGGTTCAATGACCAAAAGATTGTAGGATAAACCAATACGCAAATAGACATCTCATGATGTTATATCGTTATTAAATATAAACGCATGTAAAAGTAGCTGTATTTTTCAGCAGTCATGGGGCGATCAACACTCCAAGTATTCGATAGGTAATAACTAAGGCTTGGAATTTAATGACCTTAAGAACATTAAAAAATGACCTAAAAAGTTTACAAATACTTGTTTTGAATTATTAAAAATAATTTTTTAAATAGTTTACTTAATTTTACTGTAACATTCTATATAAATTTATCAAAACTCACAAATGACTCAAAATATTACATAAAAATGACAACAAATGTCCTTAAATATGAAATTAAAAAAATTACAAATATTTGTTTAATAAATTTATCAAAGCTCTCAAATTATTCAAAAATTAAAATAATTGAATTGTACAATTACTGTGTATTTGATGTTATCAAAAGTAAATGAACGACTATTATCTGTTTAAAAATATTTATATTAGGAAAAACTTCTTTCCATGACTAAAGTGATTGGGAGGCACATACGAGCACTAACCGACGTTATAATTTTCGTAATTTCGAAAATATTACGAAAAAATATAATACAATTTATATATATGTTACGGGCAAAGTAGGTATACAATTTGGGCAATATAGATAACAGATGATATGATTTAATGAAATATGATAAGTCAATGAATAATGACATGTATTTATATTATTGATTAATTCATCTCAGTAGATATAATTGATTGCACCACCAATCCTTTCTTGGCTGTGCTTCCTTTTCTTTTATATGATTTGCAACTATTTAAGTATAGTATAATCATATCATTGATGATATTTTTATATTTTGTATTTACCTCATATTCTATCCTGTTTCGTTCACCATGTCTAATCGATAAATGAACCTTATGTATAATATCAAATAACTTTTCATTATGTACATAATATTTAATTTCGTTGTTTTCAGATACTGGTACAACTAACTTATTAACATCAGAAACTTTTAACACGTCATATTTTTTTTAAAAGTTTATAATCATTCGGTTCCTTTTTCTTTGAATTGTTTTGTAATTGATTTTCATGTAAAATTAATTGATCAAATTTTAACTTGGTAAAAAACGACGTATTTGAACCTTTTTTTTTTTACTAACAAATTGTTTAAGTCTTCATTAAATTTTTCCATATTCGATTAAGTAGTTAGGTGCGCACTCAGTGTCGGCCTGCCTAAGGCAGCTAGGCAGCAATCGCTGCCTGGGCTCCTGTTTTTTTTTTTCATATGTATATTTAAATGCAACAAAACGTTTGGATATAATAATTACGAGGAACAAGTGGTCGTAAGGTATTTTAACTTTTAATTTTTAAATCTATAGTTAGAATAAGTAAATCGTACTTCTTATTATCTTAGTCAGGTTTTATAATTGTGCTGTGTTCGATAAATATAAATTATAATTATTTTGGATGAATGATCTTGATATTAAATAGTATTGAAGAACGATTAATTCTAAATGAAAATATATTAAAGGATGTAAATGGTTAGATCCAAAAATATACGAATACAATACTATATTACTTATATAGAAACAATTTGCTTCTTATTATTTTAATATTATTCCAAAAAAACATAGCATAATGAACGATAATGATGATGAAGGTTATATTATAGATGAAGTAGCGACATTTGATTCGATAAATTGTAATACCTGTTGGAAATATATAGCATGTGCTTTTAAAATTATTACCCAACTATCTTGTCATTATGGTATATACAACAATTTGAATCAGGGTTTTAAATACATAATGCTATTGTCATCAACTCAAGTCACTTGTGAAAGATTATTTTCTAAGTTTAAAGTAATAAAAAAAAAAATTAAGACCATCACTCGATCAGCAACATTTAGAACCACTGATGCTTATGGCTATAGAAAAAGATATTACTTTAAATATAGATAAAATAAAACTAATAGATGACATAGAAAAATCGTTAAAAGAAACGACAAGACTTTTCATATGATATAATATATATTATTAAATGTATTTATTTTATACTTGCATAGTTTTTTTTTTTTTTTATAAAAGTTGAATACTTTACGATAAATTTAGATAAAGAGAATTTTTAACTTTATTCTTTTTTATTTAAAATAACAAATATAGAATCTGAATGTATCACATTTTAATGACCATTTTACATATTTGATATATTTAATTTCAATATACGAGTAATAAATAAATGTTGTAGTATGGAAGTTAGATTAGGTTAATCCTGCCTAGGCCATTTAGAGCCAGGCCGACACTGTACGCACTGAATAAATTAACCTGCACTATACAAACGATTCACCATTACTAAATAGTTCATTTTGGAGAATAGATAAAAAACCGACTCCACGATAATCACTACAATTTCATATAATATAACTTATAAATCAGTAAATATAGTTATTATATATTATGTCACGTACATGCGTATAATATGTGGACAAGCGGACATCCCATTGTAAAAATACGATAAGAACAAACAAACTAGTTACAGATAATAATTTGACTATTTTAACTATGTTTTATCATATTTCATTAAATCATATCTGTTATCTATATTGCCCAAATTGTATACTTTGCCCGTAACATATATATAATAGTTATTATTAACTATAACAGCGTTTCTTAAACTGTATTTCGCGGGACCCCCCCCCCTCGCAAAAAAAATGGGCCTCTAAGTATTGTTTTGGTAGGTATATTAGTTTAAAAACATTAATCTGATATAGGTAAATCACTTATTTTAATTAGAATTTTGTTATGATATGATAAAAAAAAACAATATTTATTTAATATTATCATTGATTACATATACTAAAGATTGTTCATTTGCGGTTTTTTCGATGGTATGAAAAAAAAATTCTGATAGAGGGCTAACTAATAATAATAAAATCTAATTTAATTTTGGCCGTAGTGTCGTAAGTCGTGATGGGCAAAAGTGACTAATAACTACCGACTTAGCCGGTAATATCAAATGACTAATTTAGTTAATCGAACATTTTTTATTATTCGACTAATTTTTATTATTCGACTTATTTTTATTATTCGACTAATTATTATATTATTCAATTCGACTTATTTTTATTATTTGACTAATTATCATTATTCAATTTGACTTTTTTTTATTATTCAACTGATTTTTATTGGACTGATTGCAAAATTTAGCATGAATTACTTTAATTCAACAATATAACAAAAATAATAATAATATAACAAAAAAACATAAACATTACTAGAAAAAATAAATACAAATTTACAACTGTTTTATATTTGTAGTGTGTGCAACGTGCGCCGTGCGTGTCATTATCGTTATTTTTGTTTTGACTATGTATGACTGCTGCAGTCAACTGCGGAAACAAAACCTTACCTTTTAATAGAATTACGACTACAATTTAAATTTCTTAGAATTACCGAGTTATCAGTTATTTTAGTCGACCAATTTTATTTATTCATATTAGTTGGTTGGAAAAAAGTAGTCGAATAATTAGTCGATTAATTTTATTTATTCATATTAGTTGGTTGGAAAAAAATAGTCGACTAATTTCTATGATTTGTATATAGCTGGTCGTGCAAATTATTAGTCGAATAATAGTCGGTAGTACGTAATGAAAACCGAATAATAGTCGGTAGTATCAAATAGTCGTTTCTGCCTATCACTAGTCGTAAGGATGTAGAGACGGGTGTGATCGATAAGTATATTATGCGGACACCGTGCACGAAAAATTATCATATTTTGTTTAATTTGTTTAGATTCCAAGTTCCGTCTCAAAAATAAAAATGTAATTTAAAGATATACTAGTTCCGTCCCGGGTTTTTTAAATAGATATATCAATTCCGTCCCATGTCAAATCGAATAAATAACAATATCATATTTCGAAATAAAAATCATATTATTTCAGCTATTGAACCAAATAAACTTTTCAGTCCTTATTTGTGCATGTCCGTTCATATATAAATTAATAGAATACAATATATGTACAGTGAAAAAGGTAAAATTTTAACTATTAAAAATTAATTTTAAATTTTGTTTTCACAAAGAATTAAGCAACAATATTGAACGATGGAAGTGTGTTCAAAAACAATGCAAAGCACATAAAAAATGGTAAGAAAACTAAATTTGTAATAATTAAGTTTTATAATAATTAAAGATCAGGATTTTAGATTCTTAATAGCTTAAAATATGATGCTAATATGTTCAAAAAAATAACTTATGAAAATGTAAATAATATGAATACTTAAATTTTTTTTATTGCATTTTATTACAAAAATAATCATACAAATTATTGAGACTAAATTATAAAAATGATTAAGGACTGAATTAGTATATACCCTTTTTTTTAACTGGGACGAAATCGGTATAAAAAAAAGGTTCTTAGGACGGAACTCGGATGCATCCGTTTAGATTATTTTGTTCGGTGGTTTAACACGGAAGTTGAGTATAGAAGAATATACTAGACAGTCGGAAAAATTCATATTAAATTTTTTATTTTGAGAAAATTATTTATTATAATATAATTTTGAATCTCATAAGGACATTTTAATGTCCTTAAGATTCCCCAGGGCAGGTTAATTACATAGAGTAATAAAACGCCTTATCTTTAATACCACAGATATATAAAACAACTTGTTTTATAGATCTGTGCTTATTACTTATTGTATGTATTTCCACATGATAAGATTATACGTACTATTGATTACCATACGATTTCGAACATATTTAATAATAATAATCAGGGCTCATAATTTATAGCTCTAAAAAAAGTAGTTATAAGTACTATAATATGCTCTTAAAAATATTCATATAAGAGCTTAAATATGCACTAAAAAATACAAAAATATGCAAAAATAAATATAACATGAAAAATAAACAATTTTAATTATTATTAAAAAAAACATATGAATAAAAAAAAAATTAAACTTTTATTATTAAAATTCTGATCGTATCGCTATATGATACAAATAAATATATAATTTAAATCAAAATAAGAAGAATTAGTTAATTAATATGAAATAAGTACAAATATAAAAATTAATACTACTATAGTTACTTGTCATTATTAAGGAAAAATGTTCTTTATGCTACAGAACTTAAAAAGACTTAAAAGAGCAAAATAGTACTTATACTTTAAAATATTTAATAATATGCAACATAAAATTTCGTATTAAACTTCTTAGTTATTTAAAATAAATAAATAAATAGCTCACATAGGTATTTCTAGAACCTCTCAAAAAAAAATATGTTAATGTAATAAGTAGAGTACGGATTTTAAAGCAATATAAAACTAAAATAAAGCACTAAAAAAAAAGCAATAAAGCTGTCTAAATCTTCCAAAAAAGCTTTAAAAAAAAGCATTAAAAATAGGTTTTTAAAAAAAATTTATCACAAAAAAAAGTATTAAAATTATTTAAAAAAAAGGTATTATAATAAACTAATTAACAACCCTGCTTCTTCGAGTTTTCATTCTTCCACAATTATTAATCTGTAAATTGAATTTATTCTATTTAAGATAATTTATAAAAAATAAATTAAATAATAGTTATTAAATGATTTTTTTTTACCTATATCATCGGAGTTGCATTGGACAATCAAAACTTTTTTCAAATTTTCAAATAAAAATTTTCTACAACGATCGGACAATATATGCTTGTATTTTGAAAAGCTACGTTCGAAGTCAACAGATGTAATAGGAGCAAATTTGTAATGGATTAAATCATCACATGTTAAATCTTCAGGAAGTTCCTCTCTTGATACTTTTTCGCCTTTTAGAATATTTGATATGGTAAGAATTTTAAATACCGAATTTTTGTTTAGTACATCATCAAAAATTTTTTTTAACCGTTTCTCCCGTTTTTCCCAAAGCTTGTTTAATTTGTTGTTTAACCTTTTCTATACAACACACGGATTCTGATAATAGCATCCCAGATGTTTCTAAACGTGTAATTTCAGTAGCCAAAAATCCAAAATTACTTTTTATGTAGATTAAATTTTCTTCAATTTCTGGGTTTTCGACTAATTTTTTAGCGTTTTTTAATAGCCAGTGCATCATCTGAGTCCAATTGAAGTATAACATTTTTTGATATGTAGAAAATGTTCACAATAATAGTTTACGGCATTTAACCAAGTGCCCCAACGAGTAATAATTGGTTCTGGAGGTAGAGGAATACCCGGAGCCAAATTCTTAAACAAATTAATACGGTATGGAGCTTTTAAAAAAACTTTTTTAATATTTGATATTAAACTATTAATTTCTGGAAAATTTATTCTGATCTATTCTGCCACTCTGTGTAGGCCTTGTGCCAAACAAGTTATATGCACCATTTTTGAGTAAAGAACTTTTAAAGATTTTCCTGATTTTACCATAAATGGTGCTGCATCCGACACAAAAAGTAAAACGTTGTCATGAAGTATGTCTTTAGGCCATAATATAAAAAGAGATCTGTCAAATAATTTAGATATAGTAGAGTGGTTGGCTTTTTCTAACACCTCTGAGTTAAGTAGGAATATTTTTCCAGGATTGTCTACTTCCAATGTACCAATTATAACATTGGCTACATATCGCCCCTCAACGTCAGTAGTCTCATCTATTGACACCCATACATTTTTGTTCCTGGCGTAATCTCTAATTTTAATAATAGTATTTGTATAGCATTGATTTATATAGTTTTTTCGAAGCGTAGACTCGTCAGGAATAATTTGTTTTGTATGTTTATGCAGAAAATCGCGAAATGTTGGTATATTTAATTTAGTGAGAGGGATATTTGCGGACAAAAAAACATTACACAGTTCTTCGTTGAATGATGACTTCATTGACATACCTGTGACTAGAAGCTGAGATTTTGGTTTTTCTTGTTGATTTCTAATATTTAGCTGCTGGATATGTTTACCTCTAGCGATATGTTGTTGAATATTATATTTTTTTTCGGCAGATACTTTAACACCACATACTTTGCAAAAAAGTACAGCATTGTCACAAGAAAAAATGTCTTCACCAAATTCTTTTACAAAATTGCGAAGACGAGCACTACAATTAATAATTTTTGGCATTTTGTAAGTGACTATCGGTAAGAATAACGAACTATACGGTGTTGCAACGAAAACTAAACTGTAATTCTGAGTAGATAATTTCCAGAGCAAAAGCATATTTTTGTGTTTATTGTCGTTTCAAGATAAAATAATCTACTATATTCAATAAGCTATATACGTATCTAAATTACGTTGATAAACATACCCATAAATCAAACATAACGAGATAAAATCGATTGAGCCAGCCATATACAATATACGATATTGGAAAACACATTATTTTACTATAAAATAAAAATTAAAAAATACGTTTCAAATACGTTTATTTTGAACACATTTTGAAAAATGTACCAAAAATGCCCAAAAAAGCATAAATATTCAAAAAACGCAAAAAAAGCAAAATAAGCGTGCATAGCAGTATAGCAGTATAAATCGAATTTGTAGCTGACAGCTTCGTTTTAGAGCAATAGAAAAAAAAGGCAAATGCCTTCAAAATCCGTACTCTAGTAATAAGTTATGAGCCCTGATAATAATAGATTATTATAAACATAGATTAACACTAATATAATTTGAAAAAACAATTCAATTTTTTTCACGGGAATTAAATTTACATTAATTAAAGGCCTCAAAGTGGGGTCTGCGGGATCCTAGTTACGCCATTACCCGGAACTCTTTGGTTTCGCAAAACTTGAGTAATTTTTTAAAAAAATTGAAGAGAATTACTTTAAAATTTTCAACTAAAGATAAGTAATAATGAAAAAAAAATTTGCATTATAGGAATAAAATCTTGGTATATTAAATAACAATGTATAAGCCATTTGGAATAATCTAAATTTATATTGTCTAATTAAAGTAATTTTTATTAAAGTATTATTATATATGTATACAATTATTATTCTTTTAATTTTAATTTTAATATAATTTTTTGAATTAAATATCTTTAGCACAATATTATTATATGATTATAATTTATTTACAAATAATCATGAAAAAAAGCTAAAAAGCTAAGAAAAGTAGAGGTTTCACAATAAATGTGGACATCAAAAAGGGTTCCACGGATAAAAAAGTTTAAGAAATGGATATTAAAATCGGATACTAAACGAATGTTAAGAAAAAATATTAAAATTTAGGTATAATAATATTCTCTTCAATACTTCAATCACGAATGTAATCGGTGAGATAAAATCGGACAAGTGTCGATTTACAATGTCGAACAAATGTGAACGTGTCGTTCAACTTTGTTGAAACATGTTGGACCGAGTCAAACGCAACCCGAATCGTCAACCCAAGTCAGTATGGATCAAAGAGAATCGAATCGACAATAGTAATGTGGACGTGTTGAATTCTGTTGTTCGACTTTTAAGCTGTAGTTGATATAAATTAAAATATAAAAATATAATTAAGTTTTAATTATATATAATATTAATAATTAATAATTAAATTAAATAAAAAAGATAAAGCAGTTCCCTCTAGAAGTAAAAAGTCTTGAATGGTCATAGTATCAGTAGATAGGATAATTAATTATAAACGCTTATTCTATGAAATAATAGATACTTTTTTGGTCAAAATTGATGAAAGATTTTCTGAAGTACACAATTTAAAATTTATGGGGTTACTTTATTTTGAATAATTTTCTTATTACAAAGATAATTTTCCTCAGGATAAATTTAGTTCACTTAAGCAGACTTATGGCCATTATTTTGAATTATCAAAACTAAAGAGTAAGTTGTCAATTATATATTCATCTGATCAATTTTATCAAACACATATTTATAAACTTTTAGAATATTTGAGAGAAACAGATTTCACAACCGCCCTACCACAAGTCACTAAATTATGTAAATTAGTTTTAACTATTTCTGCAATCAGTGCTTCTGCTTAAAGATCTTTTTCTCCTTTAAAAAGGATAAAGACTTATTTAAGAAATAATCAAACTCAAAATAGACTTTCAAAGTTATCTTTACTTTCCATAGAAAAAGATGTTTTAATGAGTACAAAGTGTGAACATCATTTTTATAATGATTTTTCAAAACAAAATAGAAGAATTGAATTGTCTTATAAATAAACTTGTAAACTAAACTAGAATTAAGTATCTATTAAAAAATATTATTTGATTTGTCATTTTAAATTCTTTAAAATAAAGTGTTATTTTATTAAAATAAAAATATTGTTGTTAATACTTATGATATAACTAAAAATTGTTAAGATACTTTTTTTAGGGGGGAGGGGAGAATAAATTGCGTGCGATTAGGTAAATAATTTGCGGATTTTTAGAGGTGTAAAAAACAAATAGAGATACAGGTAGGTATAATTTTTAATGACTGCTTACACTACTAATGAATCCACGTCACTGCATGTATGTATGTAACAACCCAAAAATCTAAATTATCAGCCCCAGTTTTCGCCCTACTAATCACCTTGATATCCTCCACCGTTGATATCATCTAATTCATCATCTTTTTTTGCCTCACAGTCATCTACAACTATTCACTCTGAACCTACCTCTGACAACCTGTTGGAACAAAATACCTCAAGTGTAAATGATTACCAACAATTAATATTGTAAGAAGTAGTTGTAAGTTGTAAAAAGTAACATCTGAACAGTACACTAAATATAATTTAATTTCTTAAAATTAAATGAAATTAAAAATGTATTAAAATAAATACTAGTACATCAAAATGTTTGTTATTTATTTCTTACCTTGACGTAATCTTGTAGCACTACTATCAGAGCATCACAGACTTCTGGTACAATGTAAGATATTGCTTGTTTTGATATCTTCAAGAGGTAGTCAAATGAAGTGTAAGAATCTCAAGTTGCCAAAGCACAACTTTACGGCAAGACGCTGTCTCACTGGAATAGCTTATCTGAATGATGTATCTTTTTTAATGATTTTAGGCGCAATCAAACTTAATATTTTTTGAAAATCGGAATTATTCATTCTAAAAAAATTTCGAAACCCTAAGCCACATCTGTATTCCAGGTACAATTGATCAACCTCATCAAGTTATAAATCTTTCATGAATTCATCTATACTATACTTCTTTTAGCTTTGGACAAGACTGGGCCTTACCCAAAATCTCCTTGAGCGGCGGCGATGAACTTGTTGGCTTTTAACAACTCCTATGATAATTGCAGCAGCAGCTACTGTAATATCTGCTGAATCACTCATTTTATTTTGTAATTAATTAATTATTTAAATATTAAATTTAAATTAAATATTAAGTAAGTAAATTAATAATGGGAAAAAATTCGTTCGATAAATGCACTCGATATCGTGTCGGTCGACTAGTCTACACAGTAAGGACAAGTTGAAAATTGAACGTGTCGATCGGCACCATTCGACATAGTGTGAACGCGGCTGTAATTTATTGGCATAATGGTTGACAAGAAACGATACGTGAACTAGTGTAAAATCAGTAAAAATGATTAAAAATGTTAAAAAATTACTTAAAAAGTAATAAACACCAAAAAAATGCAAAATGTATCAACTTCCGAGGCCTAGTAATAACTAATATAGAAACGTGCATTTTAGTGGATCTGTGTGATTATTGAAAAACAGAACATAATCTGACCATGTCTGGTTAAGGGTATTAAATTCTCGAGAAATAGGACCACCATCAGGGACATACATACGGGGGGGGGGGGGTCCCGGGTTCAAACCCCCCCCAGGGTCAAAAAAAAAGAAAAAGAAAATTGTTTTATTATTGATGACGTGTATTATATTCGTAGTTTCATTATTACAAATATATTGATAGGTGTTTGAAAAGTTTTGTTAACTATGCTGTTTTTATATTCCAATAGCTATTAATTTACTGTAATGTAAAAGTAAACTGTAAATTGGTAAAAAAGTTGTATAAAATAATATCTATTAATAGCAGTTATTTATCTTATTTAACTGTGCAACGAAAAAAAAAGATAACGATTATTTTTGTTAAACCCCCCAGAGCAAGATTGAATGTACGCCACTAAGAACCATAGATCGATCATAGTATTCGAAAATAAGAAATATAAGGTATTCTCGAACAAACCAATACAGGTATGTGTTTTAATCTGATAAACGCCATGGCGCACCAGTTTACTTAATAAATATATTAATTGAACTTAAAATATTTTATAAATAAAATAGTGATTAAATTAATGTTGAGTTATTATTAAAACACCTTTCTACTAATAAACCAAAAGAAGACAATTAACTTTACAGCAAACAACATTATGTATATTGTTTGTTTAACTACAACAGCTCATTGCTTTTCAAACTACAAGTGTGACACAAAAGGCAATTTTGAATATGAGTATTTTTATGAGATTAAAAATGTAGATTACTGTAACAAAATAATGGTATATTTCATTATTTTACTAATTACTTACCCCGTTTCTTTCATTTTTCCACTATGTGTGATTCACTTTTCTTTATTTTTAATAAAAATAAATATAATGTAATTTATATTTTATTTAATATAATCAATAATTATCTATACTACTCTGTAATTTTTCACACTTACACTGGTTGGCTGTTGTTAACATTATTATATTAATTTATATCTATACTATTGAAGTTTTTAAAATAGAAGAAAAAAAAAATTCACGAAACAGAGCATCTAATAAAAAGTTCTAAAAATATGCAAGAAATAAATTTATTAAATTAACGGTTATACAAAAATAACTAAAATATACTATATTATATTACTAACTGCAAACTCGTGAAAATTTATTTTCTTACAAGGAAGACATTGTGATGTTACAGACTCGGATAAATAATAATAAATAATATAAACTAGAACTATAGAAATATAAAATATGAACATTGATTAAATATACAGTATATTTAATCAATGATATGAAGAAGACAGAACTGAAAACGCGTTTTTACTAAGGATTTCAAACAAGTTTTTAATTTAATAATCCAATTTAATATTTTAATCTTTATTTGATAAACCATGAAACTCAAATTAAATACCTTTTGAAAAACCGCAGTTACGATTCTGGCTGTTCAGGATAAGTGGCGTGGTACAGGGGACAATTGCGATTTGATAATAGTTAAAGAAATAAAATCATAGTACTGTGATTAAATTTAATTAATCTTGGTTGAAATAATTTTAATTATTTTAGTTAATAACAAATAATAGCCAAGCAATAAATAAAAATAATGTATAATATATGTATACAAAATTTAATTCGTGATATTATTATAGTTTATTATAACATTTTATTGACCAGTCATTATAATAATAATAATAACGCTACAAAGTATAAACAAGTAAGTATATTTTATTATTTTAATTTTAAGTGAAGTAAAACCCACGCACATGGTGACAAAAAAAAATAAATAAATAAAATTTTACTTTTTGTGTACTATTATTTGATTTGGACGAGTATACTTTATATATAGTACGTGTCTAATTTTAGTCCCGTAGCGTTAACCTCACGTCTCCAGATGGGTACATGGAAATCACTATTGGATGGCGCCGCCAAATAAATGATGGTGCGGCCAAAAATAAAATCGCACCGTATCGGCTGCGCATCTCTAGACGCGTCCATAGGAATCACACAAAGGACGTATTTAGGGTGGCGAGGGGGTACCATCGCCCCGGGCACCAATTTTTTTTGAATTAAGGAGTGGAGACATTTTTTTGTAATCATGATCGATCATCCATTTTTATTGGTTAATCAAAAAATTTTAATATTTTAAGATTTTAAATAGCGACCACACAGCGATTTTTATTTTCACGATAATATTATCAA